ATAGAATAGAATAGAATAGAATAGAATAGAATAGAATAGAATAGAATTCTTTATTGGCCAAGTGTGATTGGACACACAAGGAATTTATCTTCAGTGCATAAGCTCTCAGCGTACATAAAAGCTATTAGAAACCCATCTTCCTCGCCAATGACTACAACTTAAAACACAAAGAACAAACTTATAAGTTTCAGCTAAGTTTGTTGCTTCCTGGCATACTTGAAAATCACCCATATTTTCCTTCAACATGCAACACAAACCTCTGCCTTCAGCTGCTCCCCGCCAGTCATGGCTTCTAGCTGTTCCATGGTCATTTCTTCGGTGATTTCAATTCCGGCCATTTTTTGTACCACTTCTTTCAAAATGAGGAGGTCAAAACTACAGGGGAAGGACAAAATAAAAGAAGAATGAGGGAGGAAAAGTGAACCATAACTAAGAAATGGATTGCATGGAGACCAAACTGATTTTACAGTACAGTGTATATTACCCCAATCATACCCTCCCATAATACTTTTTGAATTTTTTTGTGTCTGTCTGTCTGTCTATCTTCTATGTATCCATCCATCCATCCATAGCCGTAGTGGCGCATTGATTAGAATGCAGGATTGCTGGCTAACTCTACCCACTGCCAGGAGTTCGATCCTGACCATCTCAAGGTTGACTCATTTTTTTAAAATGCAATTTGACCTGCACTGCTTAAATCTCCTAATCCAGGTGCTGGAAGGCAGTCAAAAGAGCCCCATCTGATCAACCAGCCATCCATGCTTTGAAATATTAAAGCATATGTAGTGCTATGTTTTAACAGTATGGCTGTGAAAACCAAGGAAGCTACATAAGTGGAGACCCTTTGAGAGCTGTATGCAACGAAATTTCATTTTAATGGATGCCGATCCGTGTACGTTGAAAGTGACAATAAAGTTATTCTCGATTCCACTCACCTTTTTCCTGCCTTGAGTTGATTTGCCACATACTGGAGGAGTCCGGCAAGTTCTATTGGGTATTTTCGAAAAACAGCACCACAAAAACTCGCTAAGCCTGAGGTAAACAGGTGAAAAGAAATAGACCAGGGTCTTCATAAATATATTTTAATAGATATGTATTAAAATTAGAATTACATAGGTTGGCTAATTATTTTACAAGTAGTGTAATGGACACTAGAATAACATTTCAATAATAATAGGTATGAAGAATGGAATAAGGGAAATAGGAGAAGTATGGATAAGAATGAAACAATAAGTGAAACTAGAATTTGAAATATTAAAAATAAAAACATGATTAGCAGTGAAATATTAGAACTAAAAATGGGTGATTAGATAACGAAAGAATATATTTTAATATACATGTGTGTATAAACAGAATTATACTCTGTATTATAGAATTATGTATTAATGATTGTGATTGGTACTAGGAGTGTATATTGAGGCAATGAATAATGAAAGATTGAAGGATGAATTTTTGATATAAATTGATGTGAAGAGTTAACTAAAGGAAGTGAAAAAAAAACCCCACGTCTTTGAATATTATAGCGATATTGGAAGGGGAAAAAAATAAAATTGAGATAGAAACAAGAGGGGAATAATAATAATAATAATAATAATAATAATAATAATAATAATAATACACACACACACATACACACAATATAAAATAAAAAAAACTTGAAATACAAAAGAAATAGACCAGGGTAACTATCTAACAACCTAGTCCTGAGTTTAGCAAGCCAGAAATCAATACTTTTGGTACCCATGTTATGTGATTTCCCAAATATTTCAACAGATGACTTAATAGATTGGATGTGTGTGTGAAAGCATCTAATGGTAGCTTTTATTTAAGGTGGCATTTTTCATTGTTTTGTAAACCCCTGTATGCTCTTCCAGAAGACTGCTGTAGAAATAAATCCAGTAAAGGCCAGTGCCTCCAGTCATTTTAGCTGGGTAAAATGTACAAAAGACAAATACTCACTCTGAAGCCAACTGGAAATTGTAGTGTCGTCGTGCTTCATCCTCTCCTTCTCGGGATTTGCCAATGCTTCAATTATGCAATCTTTGGATGACGTTAAGCAAGAATTCCATCCAATTGTTAATGTTAGCTTTAAAAGATACTACAGGGTGATGACAGCCGAGGCAGTCTGGTAGAAGAGAATATTTGTAGCTTTGGGTTGTTTCATTACCCAACTAAGTAACTTCATCAGTTCTTCTTCAGTCGTGGCATGGATATTACGTAGTTGGATAATGAAACATCTGCAAGAAAACAATCGAGCATAGAGAGCCCCAAGGACCTCAAATTCAGTCCTTAAGGCATCAAAAGATCTGCCTCTGTCCTGTTACAAACACCACTAAGAAAGGAAATATTTTGCAAGCCCTCCCATCGCTATGCAATACTGCTAATTCTTAAAATGAAGTAGTAAAAAAAAAACAAACAAAACACTTTTAAGGAATATTTTTTTATTTATTTATTTGTTCAACTTGTATGCCGCCTTTCTCCGAAGACTCAAGGCAGGCTTACAATGCATTTAAAAACCATATATAAAAACATTAAAAATTAAAACATTAAAAGCAATTAAAACCCATTCACACCATTCATGGCCGGATCTCGCCAGATCGCAACAGCGAGATCAACGGCCCCAGGCCTGCCGGAAAAGCCAGGTCTTCACCGCTTTTCGGAAGGCCAATAGGGTGGGGATGGTCCGGATCTCAGGAGGTAACCGGTTCCAGAGAGCTGGGGCAGCCACAGAGAAGGCCCTCCCCTGCGGGCCTGCCAGCCGGCATTGTTTAGCTGACGGGACCGGAGGAGACCAACTCTGTGGGATCTTACCGGTCGCTGGGAGCTATGCGGTAGAAGGCGGTCTCGAAGATAACCTGGCCCTGAGCGATGTAGGGCTTTAAAGGTAATAACCAACACCTTGAATTGTGACCGGAGACCAATAGGGGGCCAGTGCAGCTCGCAGAGAATTGGTGTAATGTGGGTGCACCTAGGTGCACCCATGACAGCTCACGCGGCTGCGTTCTCAAATATCTTTGAGAAAAGCTGCTGTTCTGACCTGGCTTCACAAAAGCATCAAGCAGACTCCTCTCATTCACATCCAGTCCTGGCAAACAGTCTTTCCAGGGTGAATTTACAACCACAGACCTTATCAGTCTTGGAGAGCTGCCAGGCTGATATCTTCCGAAGGCTATGCTGTACAAGAAAATACTTGGCAAGGAGTGAACTAATTGTCTCCTGCAAACTCCCCTCCTCTTTTGCTCCTCTTTATTCCCTATGGGATGGGCCATTTACTGTCCACCTGTGCCTTTACTCCCGAGTCGGCCCTTGTTCCTTAACTGTTCCCTTCTCCTGGCAGCTGTGCGCAAGCACACATTGGGAACAGGCTCCAGCTGTTCTTCAGCTCCACTTATCTCCGACTCCAAAGGTAGCTGATAACTGTCGGACGACCCTGGCCCCATCTCTGCCTCCGATGCAGAGCACTCATCAGAGTCTTCCCCAGACTCCAGGACTGGGCCATGTTCCTCTCCAACTTCCTGTTCAAGTTTGCTGCCAGCTCCGCTGGCCACTGATAGGCCACAACAGCTGCAGTTCTATGATGGGGTGGATTATTTGATCTGGCCACTGGCGGGCCACAACAGCTGCAGTTCTATGATGGGGTGGATTATTTGATCTGGCCACTGGCGGGCCACAACAGCTGCAGTTCTATGATGGGGTGGATTATTTGATCTGGCCACTGGCGGGCCACAACAGCTGCAGTTCTATGATGGGTGGATTATTTGATCTGGCCACTGCGGGCCACAACAGCTGCAGTTCTATGATGGGGTGGATTATTTGATCGTAAAATTGAGGCTGAATTCTACCAAACAATTCTACTGATTGCAACCTTTGATCCCCTGTAGCGAAAATTTAACATTTGTGCCACGTGGCAAAAAGGAGGAGGAATTCTTACCACCTTCAAAAAGGTGCAAGGAAAAAAAAGTTTGAAATGCTTCAAAATAACCGACCAAAAGAAATTTAGGAGCTTTAAGTCACTTGTGTACAACGATCACATTTTCTGAGTTTGAATTCAATATGGCAAGAACTATTAGCCCTAAATGGTGAGCAATGGATCACCCTGGAATCCCTCGTGAGGAACAACGGAGGCAGCAGAAATGTAAAACAAGACAGATCACAGTTCCAGGAAACTGGCAAAGGATACAAGCCAAAACATCGTAGTTTAGTGAAGTGAGGTATTTCAATGAATCAACAACTGGAGTTATTAGGTTATCGTATTTCTGGATCTGGGACAAAATCTGAAAAGAATAAGTAAAAGTGAAACGTTTAGAGATATGTCTGCACATTCGTTAAGTGTTTCACATCCTTAGACAAATTATTTCTCTGACTTGCAAGTAGTCCTCGGGTTACAACCACTCATTCAGCAACCATTCAAAGTTACAAAGGAACTGATCGAGGGAGATTTAGGACTGGTTCTCCGAGTTTCGGCCACTGCCCTGTCCCTGCGATCACACGATTGTGATCCAGCCACTGGGTACCTGGCTTGCGATTACGTAACAGTGAGACATGGTCATGTGATCACGACTTCTGATGCCTGCCGGCTTCCCATAAGCAAAGTCAATGGGGAAGCCAGCAGGAAGGCGAAAGTTGCTCTGGCCGCTTTTTTGCTCATTTACGCTCTATGGCACCACCCTGTGGCACGTACACAAACACACACCCACAGACACACACATGCCACTTGTAGCCATCATAGTTCTCACCTGCCAACCTGCTCGCCTGGGACCCCTGCCTTTTCCTGCTTAATGAACTGTACAGTCTTGAGGTTACAATGGCAACCAGGATTACTGGTCTTGCTGTCACACTACGCAAGACGGTTATTTGATTTTGTGCTTTATGACCAAACCACTTAGTGGCAGAAATTCCTGTCCCAATTGCCACCGTAACCTGAGGGCCGCAATCTCTTTTCACTCAATCCTTTCCTTTCATTTACATGTTTACAATTGAGTTACAAGTGCATTAATAAGACCATCTATTGTAAAAAAAAATTGATAAAACATGTGCAGTTTTGCACTCGGTACGTTTTAAACTACGCAGCTTCGGCACATTTGCTGCGACAACAGATACATATCTCAACTTATCTTGCCACCTACATAGTCAAATAAAATGGTTGGGTTGCTGTGACTCAGTTTCCCAATTTGTCTTCCAGAAGGCTTTACGTTCTCCTTCGTTAAACGCCTGTAAGAAAATACTGTACTTTAGTTCCTTTCTTTTGCAGCTTTCTTTGCTAATTACAAAGAAATTTAATTTACTTTCCTATGAATAAAATCTAAGATTGCCGTCTCCAAATCCTGGGGAAAACTGCATATATGGTCACATTTCATATATAATGTATTCATTATCTTGAACTTAAGGGTGTAAAATCAAAAGAAGAAATCATACTTGTGAGACGCCAAGTATGGATTTTTTTCTAATCCAGAAAAAAATTAACCAGGTTTTAATTCATCTCTTATTTTATTACTCAAGCTGGCATGATTTAAACAACAATTCCTGAGTTTCACACTGACGACAGGAAGTTTTGCTCAATGTTTTACCTCAGGAAATATAAGCGTGGCACTCTTGTCATATAATTTAGTCCTATAATTTAGTCAGCAATCCTATACATTTTATGAATAATCTCCCGAGTCAAATAGGATGCAAAAGTATATATTCAAAATTAACTTTATGAGAACACCAACAACTGCCTTGAGGCTAAGAAATTAACTTTTGCAAAATGAGTGACCAACTGTACTCATGACCAACTGTACCCAGCATGATTTGGAGGGACTACCAGAATGTTCTGGACTTCTCCAGAACATTCCATGTTAGACTTCTCCAGAACATTCCATTTCGAAGACGTCTGGTTTTGCACATACTTAATAGGAACGCTTATTCAAACAAATATCTAACTTACTTCATTATATATTTAGCTCGGTCAATTATCTGAGCTTTAACTTTCACTAGCAGTGGATGGCTATTGTATGTTTCGTTCTTCCACTGGCCGTAGAGACGATACCTAGTAAAGGACGCAGGGAGAAAAGAAACCATTTATGTATTTTTTTTTGTTCCAAAAGCACTGCGATATTGTATTATAAAACATTCTAGGTAATTACTCACCGGTGCTGGTATGGAAATGTTTTAAACATCCCCCAGAGTTCCTCAGACATGCATGCGTTACAGTCCATCAGGGAAAGAGAAGGAAGCAGAACCTGGTCAGTGATACTCAGCAAGCAGCTGAACAATATCTCCTGGGGAACCGGGAAGAGAAGGGGAAAACGAAAAATTTAGTAAAATGGGGTCCTCTTTTTAATTTGCTCAATTTGATTTTTTTTTTTTTACAACTTTGTCAGGCCCAAAAAGGTGCTTTTTTTTCCAGAGGCACCTGGACTTTCTTTTTTTTCTTTTTCTTTTGAAGACGTTTCATCCAAGAAGCTTCTTCAGATCTGACAGGATAGTGGGGAATGGAAGGATTTATATTCCTTGCAGACAGCTGGTCATTTTCATCTTTTTTTAGAGGGTCGTTGAAGCCCTTGAGGGTTTATCTGTGTCCTCAGGGTCACCTGAGTAGGGCAAATGGTTCCTGTGGTCTGTAATTTTTCTGGAAATCCATTCATATCCCCACACCATTCATCCCAAAGTGCACAGCTAAAAGTAAAATATAAATGCTTCCATTCTCTACCATCTGGTCAGAGCTGAAGAAGCTTCTTGGACGAGAAGCGAAACATCATCAAAGAAAAAACAAGAAAGTTGAGTTGCCTCCTGAAAAAGCACCTTTGGGACAACCATGACCTGGATGAATGAGAATCTCCACAGATTTTTAGCTACACAATTTGGGATGAACCCCCTTTGAATGGGGTGGGAGTAGGAATAGATTTCCAGAAGAAAAATTGCAGACTACAGGAACCATTTGCCCTACTCAGGTGATTCCTGAGTAATCCCTGGATAACCTGATGGTTAGTTCTATCGTGCATCAAATATTACAAGGTCTGTCAAGGAAGGTTTTTTTTTTTTTTTTTTTTAAAGAACCTACCATTTTCTCTCTGTCCTCTTGTTTGTTTCCGTCCAACTGGTACTACAGGAAAAAGAAGGTAGGTTAAACTTTAAGATGTTATGGCTTCAGACCAAAGAGACAATCCCAAGCATGTTAATGAAAACATTTCCTCTTCCAAGTTTCAGAGGAAAACATCCGAGTCAGAACAATCATGGCGGAACTAAATTTTCTGAATCTCTGAAAGGGAAAGAATGGGGGTGGGGTAGGGTAGCTCCTCCATAATGTGGCATGCAGAAGGAGAAGGAGAACTTGAACTATGGATCTCCAACCTCAGTTGGCTACAATAACTTTCACAAATTACTCTGTTGATATGTCAACAGTTAGAAAACCCCCAACCCTCATTTTAAATCCTTCAATGCTTGGTGACATTCGTATGATATCTCTTTCCCACTATGGTTAAACCCATTAGGGTTGTCCTGAAGGTGCTTTTTTCAGGAGGCAACTGGACTTTATTTTTTTTTTGTTTTGAAGGTGTTTCGCTTCTCATCCAAGAAGCTTCTTCAGCTTTGACAGGATGGTGGGGAATGGAAGAGAGGAAGAAGCTTCTTGGATGAGAAGTGAAACATCTTCAAAGAAAAAAACAAGGAAGTCCATTTGCCTCCTGAAAAATCACCTTCGGAACAACCATGGCCTGGATGACTGAGAATCTCTACAGAGAAAATTAAGGAGCAACTGTAATTGAGTCCACAAAATTACAGAGGTAGTTTTGGTCACCACATTATAGAAAAGGTGTTGGACTTTGGAAATAGTGCAGAGAAGAGCATCAAAGATGAGGAGGGGGCTGGAGGCTAAAACATATGAAGAACGGTTGCAGGATTTGGTATGTCTAGTTTAATGAAAAGAAGAACTGGGGTGACATGATGGCAGTGTTCCAGTGTTTGAGGGGCTGCCACAAAGAAGAGGGGCTCAACCTATTCTCCAAAGCCCCTGAAGGCAGGACAAGAAGCAATGGATGTAAGCTAATCAAGGAGAGAACCAATCTAGAACTAAGGAGAAGTTTCCTGACAGTAAGAACGTGGAATGGCTTGCCTTCAGAAATTGTGGTTGCTCCATTGCTGGAGGTTTTTAAGAAGAGACTGAACAGCGACTTGTTTGGAACACTACAGGGTCTCCTGCTTGAGCAGAGGGTTGGACTAGAAGATCTTCCAAGGTCCCTTCCAACTCTATTATTCTATGAAATGGTCTAACTCGCACTTAAAACACTGACTTGTACATAGCTTGGCACTACCAGGCGTAGTTTTGCACCTATACATAACCTGCTTCCCCTTTCCAAAATGGCTACAAGAAAACACACAGTGGTGTTGGCCAACTAAGTCTTTCAACCTAGCTTCCAAACTTGAATAGAGTGTCTTAAGCTTAGGACCTCCAGAGTGGTTGAAATGGTCCATTGCTTTGACGTTTTGTGAACAAAGCAAATGCAATGCAATGGAACCAAGCCATGAGCAAAGCAGCACAAAGTAGGAAATCTCAAGGAGAAATTCAACCTGGAAATGAGGAGAATTTTTCTGACAGTGAGGGCCATCAACCCATGGAACAGAAGTTGCCTTCGGAAGTTGTGGGAGCTTCATCACTGGAGGCTTTCAAGAAGAGATTGCACTGCCATCTGTCAGAGATGGTGTAGGGTCTCCTGCTTGGGCAGGGGGTTGGACTAGATGACCTACAAAGTCCTTTCCAATTCTATTAATTTGTATTAAACCCAGCAAATGGAGGGAAAAAGAGTTTACTTTAGGACAGCAAACATTAATTTTTAAAATTAATGTTAATTCTAGAGGAGTGCCGTAATTTAAGCTTGTTTTAAATTATTTTGGTCAGCTCGTTTTGAGTTCTTTTTAGGAGAAAATTGGGAATAAAAGGATTTTGAATAAGCAATTCTTTTCTTCCTCATAGCTGTCCCAGAAAAAGAGAATGCAAATGTCAAGGCTGCTTATTCACATTATCCCAAAGAGAAGTCGGGCATATCTGCAAATCAGGAAAATGTGACAAGAAGCCCATCTCCAAGAAATAAGCAGACAGTGAAGACATTTGGTAGCAGCGAACTAAAAAACAAAATCAGCTCTCAAGCCTATGCTGCGTTTTTATTTTGCAAGACATCTGGAGATGGCTCTCAGCAACCTGCCAAATCCTGACTTGGGTTTACAAAAGCTGATCTAATTAACAGATGTTTAGAGATAAATTTCACTGTACTTTGCACAGCATTCACTCTAACTGCCTGTCAACTGTTTAACAGTGAAATTACATAGAGCACTTTTGCTGTATAAAGATGATTATAATTTTCCTCTCACACTAGACTGACAACAGCATGGTATTATTTCTTACCCGTTACTTACCCGGGTAACTATTAGCAGTAGAATTCCCAAAGAAACAGGACAGAATTGGGCATTAAAAACATCAACTCGCTTATAGTTTTAATATTCACTGTTTAAAGTGGCCATTTAAGACAGTAAAGACTTATGTTAACTCAGTTTTCTCTTCAACTGCTCGCTTTTGAAACAGATGATGATGATGATGATGATGATGATGATGATGATGATGATGATGATGATAATAATAATAATAATAATAATAATAATAATAATAATAATATCATGGTACCAGGAGATGCCAGAGTCAAAGAAAAAGAACTGGAAAAAAATCACGAAATATCGTGACCTGGCCATCGAAACTAAGCGATTATGGATGAAACATGTAACAGTGATACCCATTGTCATCGGGGCACTTGGTCCCATATCCAAGAATTTTATAAAATACATCAGGAAATTGCAGCTTCCTGCAATAACACCAGCAGAACTACAAAAAGCTGCGCTACTCGGAACATCATACATTTTAAGAAGGTACTTGGTTGATACCTAAGATGCTGGCAGCAACCCGTATCAACCTTTAGCACCAGTCAATGGTATTTGTGATGCATTTTTAAATGTTCAGTTGACTGAGTTTCATGTTTAATGAATAAAGTATATAATAACCATGTCCAAGAAGTTTGCAAAATACATCAAGAAGTTGCAGCACCTTCTTGCTGCAGTTCTTGCTGTAGCACCAGTGGAGGTGCAAAAGGCTGCGCTACTCGGAACAACATACATTTTAAGAAGATACTTGGTTGATACCTAAGATGCTGGCAGCAACCCGTATTAACCATCAGAGCCAGACAACGATATTTGTGATATATTATTATTATTATTATTATTATTATTATTATTATTATTATTATTATTATATTATTATTATTATTATTATTATTATTTTAAACATATAAAATAGGAGAAAGGAAGAGTGAGAGCTGTAAGATGTCTTATGGATACCTTAATGGGAAAAGGGATAGAATCAAGATCACGTGAAGGGTTAATACCACTTTATAAGGCCTTGGTGAGGCCACACTTGGAATCCTGCACCCAGTTTTGGTTGCCACGATGTAAAAAAGATGTTGAGACTCTAGAAAGAGTGCAGAGAAGAGCAACAAAGATGATTAGGGGACTGGAGGATGAAACATATAAATAATTGTTGCTAGAATTGGGTATGTCTAGTCTGATGAAAAGAAGGACTAGGGGAGACATGATAGCAGTCTTCCAATATCTCAGGGGCTGCCACAAGGAAGAGGGAGTCAAGCTATTCTCCAAAGCCCCTGAAGGCAGGACAAGAAGCAATGGATTTAAGACTGTCATGACTCATGACCATAATGGGCAGGTTGTAACTCAAGGATGCTGCTGTTAAGACACTGAAGGTACATTTAAGGATACATCAGGCAAGGGAAGTCATAGCTGGAAGCTGACTTACTGTCATGTAGGGCCTGGTGGCTCAGCAGACTGATAGCATTGTGATTAACACCAGCTGCCTGCAATTACTGCAAGTTCAAATCTCACCAGGCTCAAAGTTGACTCAGCCTTCCATCCTTTCTAAGGTAGGTAAATTGAGGACCCAGTTTGTGGGGGCAATAAGCTGACTTTGTATAAAATATACAAAAGGATGAAGGCTATTGCTTAACGCACTGTAAGCCGCCCTGAGTCTCCGGAGAAGGGTGGCATATAAATCAAATTAAAATTAAAAAATAAAATAAAATAAATGTTCAATGTGCACTTCTGCTGTTGCAACCATTTTCGCTTCTCAAGCTTGTTAACGAACTAGGGGGGAGGGAAGGGAGAAATAATGGAATGTAGGCTCCAGACATCAAGAAGGGATGCCAAGGACACTTCAGCAGGTGGCTGAAAAAACCTCAGAAACACTTTCTCATAACAATACAATGACATTCCATTGGACGATGTGACCGGCACTAATAGGGGGAGGGAGAATTCTGTACTTTTTAATTAAACGGCATTGCGCGGGAGTTAGCTAGAGCCGGTTTGGCCTTAAACCAGTGCCAAAATGATGTATTCAATGAAGTTTTGCCTAAAGAGATTGGACCGTCTCGACTGTGCTTGCTCAGCTGTGCTTGACACCTACCTCTTTCATGAAAGCTTTCCCAAGGCGCAAGACTTTTGCGAAGAGAATGGGATCGTGGGAGAGATGCGGGCCGAGATAGCAAAGCATGTTGAACACTTCTTTCCTTAAGTCTTCAAAATGTTCGACTGGCTTTGGGGCTCTCTTGTTTTGCAAAGGGGGGACTGGGGTTCCTTTGGCACCTTTGAGGACCCCGACTCTGAAACGAGAAAGGAAAGTTCTTTAGAAGATTCTTTAAATGTGAGGTTATGGGGAGAACTTCTCAAAATTTATATATATTCTTTTAATACTATTTTCATGTTTGTAATTGATGTTTTTATCCGGCTGTACACCGCCCTGAGTCCTCAGGGAGAAGAGCGGTATATAAATTGGGTATAAAATAAATAAAAATAAATAAAAAAATAAAAACGCCGGCCGGGGCAATAGAGAACCCTTTTCCAAGCCAAAGGCATGAGGAACGGGTGTCAAACTCAAAAGCTTAGATCTGGCTCACGAGGCCACCCTGGAAACAGCGAAGAACCAGCTCGTGGTGCCTCTGCCAGCGAAAACGGAGCTTGGGAGGGCTGCAGATGGTGATGTCGAGCTGGCCACGCCCATGTCCACCTGCCCCCTCCCCCCAAAGGTCAAACACAACCCTGATGCGGCCCTCAATGAAATTGAGTCTGAGGTTGACTCAAGTCTTTCTGTCAGGCCTGGAATCTTTTTCGTTGGGCCTTCAGGCCTGCCACATTTACTACTGTGGGAAACTGGGAGTGGGGATTGCATGGAGCATGGGTGATATGTAGTCATAACAACATTCCTTTCTCAGAAATTCAAGGTCATCTTGCCCTGCACCTGGATGGCTAGAACTGGGAGGTATCTCCAGTTGGGACGGTGCTTGGATTGGACCGTGTGATGGACATGTGGGTGCTGGGCAGGGACTTGGACTTTCCTTTGGGTGGGGAAAACCTGGAAGCTTTCAGATCCGGGTTTCCCCAGACGTGCCAATATGACATCTCTAATAAAATGGAACTTTGAGGAAACTCAAGCCTCGGAGTTTTCTTTTGTTGGGGGTGTTACTTGGAACCCTGACACCTGGCTTGAGGAGTAAAAAAAAATACTGACAAACTCTCCCACCACTCTCTCAGCCACGAATTCTAAAACCAAGGAAGTTTGAATCAAGGAAGCCTAAAATGACACGGTTTGTGAAAATACGCACAATGCGTGTCGTTTAATCAATTTTATTCGGCATGCAGACCCCGTTCACCTTCGATAGAGGGGCTCAATCATCACATGGAGAAGCTGGCAAAGAGCGAGAGCGATGGGTTTGTGTGAAGTTGCGTAAAACGGAGGCATCTGGTCCATAATGCTTTGCGCATGCTGCCAATCACCGATTTTTAACATGGCTTCTAATAAACCCAGTTTCTGGTTATCTGGTGGCTGAAAAAAAATAAGCAAGCAGAGGAAATTATTTTTTTTAGAGCAGAAGTGTAGTTTCTCCCAATACTATCACAGAAAGCATGTTTCCAAAAATACCTGCATATTAATTACAGTTTTTCTATTCTTCAATATTAGGGCTAAATATATATATATGGATGGATGGATGGATAGATAGATGGATGGACAAATAACAGAGAGAGAGAGAGAGAGAGAGAGGATGAATCGAGAGACAGATAATTAGAGGATGGATAGACAGATAAGAGGATGGATAGAGAGGATGGACAGACAGATAAATAGAGGATAAATAGATAGATAGATATAGATAGATGGATGGACAGATAACAGATAGAGAGAGAGAGAGAGGATGAATAGATAGACAGATAAATAGAGGATGGATAGAGAGGATGGACAGACAGATAGAGGATAGAGGACGGATAGACAGATAAATAGAGGATAGATAGATGATATAGATATAAAAAACAGGCTCCTGATTAAACCATACAGTTCCTGAAATGCAGATAGTCTTTGACTTACGACCACAATTGAGCCCAAAATTTCTGTCGGGCAGCAGTTATTAAGCAGTTATTAATAACACAGTTATTAAGTGACTTTTGTCCCACAGTACGATGCTTTCTCGGCATGGTTGTTAGGTGAATCTGGCTTTCCCAGTTGACTCTGCTCGTCAGAGGGCCACAAAAGGGGATCGCGTGACCCCTTATTATGACCTCGAAACTGTCATAAATATGAATCGGTCACATAAATATGATTGTGCGACTGTGGGGAGGCTGCAACGGTCATTAAGTGTGAGAAACGGTCATAAGTCCCCTTTTTCAGCTCCGTTGTAACTTCGAACAGTCACTAAATTAATGGTTGTAAGTCGAACACCAGCTGTATAGACTGTATATATTTGGGGTGTGAGCAGCCTGGTATAAGAGATAGAGTATGAGACCCCAGCTCTATTAGGAGCGGAAATATTTTATATTCAGTTCATGTTTCCTTCTGTCTGGGGCTAAAATAGAGAAGACTCCTTTCCCATCATCCACCTCTTCGCTGCAAGTCAAAGCAAAACCGATTCGCACCAGAACTGTGGTATAATCATGGCTTGTTAAGCCGGCTGCTAGATCGCGTACTAGGAAAACTCTGTCTAACCGTATTTTGCTGGTTGATCAGCGCCTCCAATCGGATTTCACGGCAGGAAGTTTGCGTGGCTGGAACTCACCTTTTCCATTTTCTCCTCTTCCTTCTCCTTTTCTTTCTCTTTCTCTTCCGTCTTTTCGGACGAGAGCACAACCATGGTAAGTTTCCGTACGATTAGTTTCGCCTCCCCGATTTCCCGTTTGTGTTCCTCGAGGATAGCGTGGTCGGATGGCAGGAGCTAGAGGCAAATCTGAATATTAGCTTTCACATACTGGCTCTCTCTTTTGATTAATATAATGGAACTCGTCAACTTTTAAACTCATCAACTTTGGTACTCAACGCCTTTTGATGTGAACACGTGGTCCTTGTACTCATTGTTTGCTACTTAACGCACAAGCTAGAACTTGTGTCAGCTGCCTTATGACTCACTACATTATTCCTTATGGGGAAAAAAATGTTTGCTACTCATCAGGAACGTACTCAGCAGGAAGAGCCGTGGTGGCGCAGTGGTTAGAATGTAGTACTGCAGGCTACTTCTGCTGACTGTCGGCTGCCTGCAATTTGGCAGATTGAATCTCACCAGGCTCAAGGTTGACTTAGCTTTCCATCCTTCTGAAATCAGTAAAATGAGGATCCAGATTGCTGGGGGCAATAGGCTGACTCTGTAAACTGTTTAGAGAGGCCTGTAAAAGCACTGAGAAATGGTATTTAAGTCTTAAGGGCTGTTGCTATTTTCCTTCCTTCCTTCCTTCCTTCCTTCCTTCCTTCCTTCCTTCCTTCCTCCCTCCCTCCCTCCCTCCCAGTGGTTAGAATGATGTATTGCAGGATAATTCTACTCACTGCCAACAGTTCAATCCTGACAGCTCAAGATTGACTCACCCTTCCATCCTTCCAAGGTCGGTAAAATGAGGACCCAGATTGTTGAAGGCAATTTGATGACATTGTAAACCGCTTAAAGAGGGCTGTAAAGCACTGTGAAGCAGTATATAAATCTAAATATTATTGCGATTGCTATCGTATTTGGTACTCATCATAGCTCCTGGAACCTCTTAACAATGAATACCGAGGTACAACTGTGTCTGGAATAACACAGATTTAGATCCAAACTTGGAGTGCCAAATGCAATGGAGAAGACCTGTCCCAATAAGTTTTAATTTATTATTATTTATTTGATCTCTACAGCTGCTCATTATCAGCAAACGACTCTGGGAGGATCAGGATAGAACTCAAATAACAGTCCAAATCCGTACCGATACAGTACCACTGTTAACCCTATTCAATATTAATTCACTATATGCATACCAAGGAGAGATATTATGCAGTAAAAGCAATAGCACTTAGACTTATATAGCACTTTACAGTGCTTTACAGCCCTAAGCAGGTTACAGAGTCAGCCTATTGCCCCCAACTATCTGGGTCCTCATTTTACCCACCTCGGAAGGCTGAGTCAACTTTGAGCCTGGTGAGATTTGAACTGCCAAATTTAGGCAGCCGGCAGGCAGCAGAAGTAGCCTGCAGTACTGCACTCTAACCACTGGGCCAAGTTACGTTTTTCAGATTTCTTTCCTAAGTATGAGAGGATTGCTCAGTCTTTATGCAGACTGTAAATATGCTCCTAAATCACGGATTAAGACAGAAAAGCCCCATATTTGGGAGAGATTAATCTTCTGTGCTTAACGGAACGTAGAATTTGTTGCTAAGCACAAAATAAATAACTTACATGCACATAAAGATCTTCCAGATCTATTAAGTTGTGTTGTAAAAGGATTGCAGCGACTCTGTACAAAGAGACCGGGGTCTCTCCATTTGGTTCCTGGAGAGGGAAAAATAATAATAATAATAAAATCATGACTGTCGGCTTTATGAGTTTTTTTTTAAGGTTTAAGTCAGGGATCCCCAACTCCTGGACCACGGCCCACTACTGAGTCGTGGCCTATTCGGAATTGGGCCACGTGAGGGGTTGGCCGGAGCGCATATGTGCAGTTCAACTTGCATGAGCAATGGGCTGGTGGGGACTCACGTGTGCTGGCCTACTCCTTGACCAAGGACTACATGGGCGTGCCAGCCCACCACTCGTGCAAGGGCTGCATGTGTGCTTTCACTGTTCACGTGGCCCAGTTCCCCTTTCCCTCCCCCAGCCAGGCCACCAAGCCACAAAGGTTGGGGAACACTGGGTTAAGTCATCTTATTTTTTAAATTTTTTTTTGATAAGAATTTACACAGCCTTACACTGAATCGAAGGACAATCACGGCTGTTTGAAAACATCTCTTAGTTCAACTCCCTCTCGTTCCTTAGCATCAAAACTAACCTTGACATAGCAAACACACATCCACACAACACCTACATGGAAGTATATTGCTTTTTCTCTCCCTTTTAATGCAGGTAGTCCTCGACTTACAACAGTTTTGCTTAGCGGCCGTTCAAAGTTATAACGGTGCTGAAAAAATGGGACTTATGACCAGTTCTCACACTTATAACCATGGTCATGTGATCAAAATTCAGATGCTTGGCAATTGACTCATATCTATGACCGCTGCAGTATCCCGGGACTCATGTGATCCCCTTTTACGACCTTCCGATAAGCAAAAGTCAATGGGGAAGCCAGTTCCGCTTAACGACGGTTTGACTAATTTTAAGAACTACGGTGACTGATTCTGCAACCGTGGCAAGGAAAGTCGTAAAATGGGGGCAAAACTCACTTAACAAATGTTTCGCTTAGCGACAGAAACGTTGGGCTCAACTGGTCGTACGTTGAGGACTACCTGCATTTCATAGTAAGCAATAAATCACTGAGATAAGGGAAGGATTTTAAGCCATGAACTTCTGTGGTACCTGATAAAACTTGAATTTGAATCCAAGTATATGGCAGAGTGTTTGAGGTTCACACATATACATATACGACTCTATTAAAGGTACAAAAAATTCATCATATTCTGGTCGACATTCGTAGACTTCCAAGATAATATCCAACACTCGGTTAGGATCCAGGTTAAAACATCCTATTAAAAAGATGGGAGTTATTAAAATATTACTTTTATTCAACTAAGCAAACAACATTAAGAAAGTATGGTCCTCTATCTAACATTAATTTATCAAATATCCTCAATAATCATTAATATCAGGAATATTTTTTTTTAACCTGGGAAACTACATTATAGAGGAAAGTTCAAGAATGTAGACTTGGGAGACACGAGTGGAGTGGAGTAGAAAAGAATAGAATAGAATAGAATAGAATAAGAACAAAATAAGAACAGAACAGAATAGAATAGGAAGACTGGAATAAATAGAGAATAGAATAGAATAGAATAGAATAGAATAGAATAGAATAGAATAGAATAGAATAGAATAGAATACTCAAAATGTAGTAAATCTAAGATATACAGTAATATAGGGAAAACTGCAACTAGAGAATTTGTCTCAGAAAACATGACTTACCTATTAAAGATTTAATGTTTTCCAGGATCAATTCACTAGTGATATTTCCAGATAAATCTTGTCCCAGTTCAGCAATCAGTTTTGCATAGCCTTCGTTCTCTTCTCTTAATAAATTAAATTTCTGTTGCTTATAACTACAGTTCAACAAATAAAGAAGACAGAAAAGCATGAGTGTTAGAAAATTAGAAGATGAAATAAACTGGTAAATTTCCTGCTTCACTTGTTTAATAAATTTATATGGGTGCCCAGCTCAAAAAAAAATGTCACTCTGGGCAAGTACTCTACTTAAAAAAACAATTGTGATTTTAAAAGAATATTTTTTATATACACAAGGTATACAAAGGCACAACGTATAAGAGAGGATAAATGTTAATTGAAATAAGGGATCCTCTGAGACCCCCCCGACAGATGACACAGCTAGGTCTTGAGGGATTTCATTAAAAGGGGTGGAGCTTTGCGGAATGTTAAGGACATACTTACAAAAGTTTTGTCTTTATTTTCACAGATTTCTGATTAAACTGCTGGGACTGCTTGATAAGCCCTAATGATTCCAGAGTTTCTGGATCCAAACGCTCTTTTAATATAGTATCGGAAACCAGGTTCTGAAAAGAAAGGGAAGGTGAGTTTTGTCAGTAACTGGATCTGACCTTATGTTATCTTTCCATAAGGACGACCCTCTTTCTGGGGACCGGATGTTAGACAGGTGATCCTCGACCTACGACCACAATCGAACCAAATAATTTCTGTTGCTAAGGCATTTGTAATTGTATCTCTACAGACTTTTAACTATACAATTTGGGATGAAGACCCTTTGAATGGTGTGGGAGTAGGAATGGATTTCCAGAGGAAAAACTGCAGACCACAGGAACCAACATATACATTTGGACAACTTCTCTTTAAAATTTTTAAAAGCAAATAAAGAATAACTCACCAAACAAGCCAACACCAGCTGCATGAACTGGTCTCTTTTGCTCTTTTCTTCTAAACAACTGGTTTCGATGTCTATAAAACCAACAAACGGCATCCGATTATTAAGGGCTCATATTTATCACGAAAAGTCGCAGTCCAATTCAGTGGGATCCCACCTTGGCAAATTTTAAGACCTATGGACTTCAACTCCCAGAATTCCCCAGCCAGCTGTTGGTGCCTGGAACTACCTTATAAGACTGCGCTGTGGAATTTATGTATTGGTCTGACCATTTCAGTGATTAAAAATTATACATAATATGTACGTACATAAAATTAGCTAGAATGGTGTAAATGGAAAATAATCCATTGGCTATTGAGCATGATCTGACTTCACAGGGATCCTATGTATCTATATATCTGTGTATCTGTATATCTATATATCCATATATCCGTATCTTCCTAAATATGTGGATGCTTCTTCAGACTTCATTATTCCTCTGTCAAAATTTATTTTTGCAATCCTCAGCCCTTATGACGACAATGATGCTTTTGAGCAAATCCCCTAATATATGCTGTTCAAAACAAATCACTCAAATCTTTCCTATCGATTCTTCCTCAAAACTGTTAAAAGCAGCCACACTGAGAAAATTAAAGGAAGGAGACCTACCTAATATGCAGAATACATCAGCCAGAATGGAAGGCATATCATCGCGAAATTCCTATTAAAAGAAATTATTAGGTGAGAAACATTTTTTTTAAAAAAAAATACTTTGATTGGGGATTGCAGATAAGGGCGACATATAATCCTAGGGCTGCAAGGGACTTTGAAGGTCTTCTAGTCCAACCCCTTGCTTAGGCAGGAAACCCTACACCACTTCAGACAAATGGTTATCCAACATCTTCTTAAAAACTTCCAGTGTTGGAGCATTCACAACTTCTGGAGGCGAGTCATTCCACTGATTAATAGTTCTCACTGTCAGGAAATTTTTCCTTAGTTCTAAATTGCTTCTCTCCTTGATTAGTTTCCACCCATTCCTTCTTAATCCTGCCTTCTGGTGTTTTGGAGAATAGCTTGACTCCCTCTTCTTTGTGGCAGCCCCTGAGATATTGGAACATTGCTATCATGTCTCCCCTAGTCCTTCTTTTCATTAAACTAGACATACCCAGTTCCCGCAACCGTTCTTCATATGTTTTAGCCTCCAGTCCCCTAATCGTCTTTGTTGCTCTTCTCTGCACTCTTTCCAGAGTCTCAATATCTTTTTTACATTGTGGCGACCAAAACTGAATGCAGTATTCCAAGTGTGGCCTTACCAAGGCATTATAAAATAACATTTTTAAGCGTTTAAGAGTGATAGCTGCCTCAGAAAACATCAGTCCCAAATAAGTAAATAAAATGCCCTTAACCTTCCAACTCAGACCTATTAAATTTAGGGCATGACGCCAGTTGAATTAAAAAACTGACTTCAGTGGCAAAGTTGAGTGTGACAGCGGATTTAACTATTTAACTATTGCTTCTAAATGAGGAGCATTTCAAAGTGTTTTTTTTTCCTTGAGCAGGGCTGGCTTTCCAACTACTTTGATTTGAAGGCTAAGAGTAGCGACCGCTTAATTAAAGTGCAGATCTGAAGCGTTAATCATCAACCACGGCCAGGTTTTCCGAGTCCCCAAAGCTGAAACGATATAATTACATCAAAATGGATGTGAATCAGTAACAGCTTCTAGCGTAACAGGCTTGAAATTAATAGGTTAATCATCCGGTCTTCTCCCTTAAGAACTTTTTGTTTCAGCCATCTTGAAAGAAGAATGACCATAGAACTTCATTTTCTAAGTATTCGGTTTTCTTCTCGACTTTTAAAAATGAACTTTTGCACCGTAAGGTTTTTTTTTTTTTTTTAAAGTTTGTTTGCCAGCAAAATTAAAGCGGTATTATAGGCTTAGGATGTTGTTCCTCAATCTGGGGACACTTGCAAATACAGGCAGTCCTTGATTTACGACCACAAAGGAGCCTAGAATTTACGTCGCTAAGTGAGGAGCTTTGCCCCATTTTACGACTTTTCTTGCTGCATTGGTTAAGGGAATCATGGCAGGTGTTAAATTAGTAACAGGGTTCTTCTAATTGTCCACACGAAGTGCCAGTTGTCTCCCCACCAAAGTGGTACCTATTTATCTACTCACGTGGAACATTTTTTCCCCCCGAATTGCTAGGTAGGCAGAAGCTGAGAGGCAAGTGACGAGAACTCACTCCACCAAGCTGTGCTAGGAACTCGAACTGCCGGGGCAAAGACCATCTCCGGCATCATGAAGCCAGTGATCCACCACACCTTCAATTCCCACTAAACTGGAATGCGTCAGGCTAAAGACGGTTGCTTCAGGAACCACCGTAGTACAAATAAATACTTACTATAATATCATTAAGAACATTCGATGCTTGGTCATGCTTTAGATTTCCCTTGATAACGTGATACGCAAGCTCATAGAGGGCCTGCTGGACACCTGGAAGACAAGACAAAGGGGGATTGAATAATATAGTCAAAGGAATATTACTGATACATGTTTTTAAAACCGCATCGTATTTCATCAATGTAAGTCATTTCTAATTATTTCTAAGTTGCAGTTGATGGTTATGGAAAAGTACAAGACAGTCAGATTTTTTTTTTTTTTTACAGTTTGACCCAGGGGTGAAATCCAGCAGGTTCTGACTGGTGCTGGAGAACCGGTAGCGGAAATTTTGAGCAATTCGGGGAACCGGTAGTGGAAATTTTGAGCTGGCCCCAGAGTGGAGTGGGAATGGAGATTTTGCAATATCCTTCCCCCAGGAGTGGGAAGGGATGGGGATTTTGCAGTATCCTTCCCCTGGAGTGGGGTGGGAGTGGAGATTTTGCAGTATCCTTCCTCTGCCACGCCCACAGAACCGGTAGTAAAAAAAATTGAATTTCACTACCGGTTTGACCTCAGTTAACCAAGGCTTTTGCTCACCTCTAAAAGTTGCATTTTCAGAAAGTGCGCGACACAGCTGCAAGCTGAAAGGAAATGAACATTGTTTAGTATCCAGAATTGATGAAGGGTTTGCCTAGTGAGATATATTATTGTGGCTATTCATAATATTTTAATGTTCAATCAAACGCCGGGGACAAATCAAAAGGAAAACAATTAGGTCAATTTCCTGAGAAAGGATGCCATTAAACAGCTACCTATTTGTGGCTGATTAAAGGTCACAATACGCTAGGCCATTACATTATTATGGTCTGTAATTCATTAAAACACCTTTCTTTGTAAGAAACATATTCAGACCTAGGAAATGCTTGAAAGAAAATAAGAACTGTGCCTTTTGATTGTTATACACAACTGGAATGTTTACTCCCTCAATATTTTGAATATAGAGTTGAAAAGATGACATAAGGCTTTAATGATAATGAACAATTTAGGTTAATTTTAAGTACTGTAGCAGAATGACGTACTCTGCATATGTACTGGAGATACCTTTTTAGATGCCATCAAAACCTGATTTCTTTAAGCGAATAAAGGTTTTGTGAAGTTTTTTAATTACAACTTCGCCAGCAAGAAAACACTTCTAATTACAGAATGCTATAAAAACTTAAACATTGGCAGAATTGCTAAATTTTAGATGTAAAGCTTTAATGATTGCATTTTCATATTAGACATTTTGATCTGGACAACGTACTTTTAAAAGCCTTTTATTCAAATGGAACATCTGTATACTTGATGCTCTGAAGGCTGAATTTTGTTTCTTTAAAGTAGTGCATCTAAAATTTGAGCTCTTAAATCCAATCTGATGTTCAGAAATTAACACTTCACTACACAGTCAAAGGTCTAATTATGAAGAACCGTAGATTCTCTTCTAAATTTTGAATCTCAGGCAGTTTGTCAGAGATTCTAGGAATCTACTAGCAGCGTCTAAGCAAATTACCGCTTAAAGACAAACTCACTCTGTTTTTTAAGTTTTACACAAAGGTGAATTTGTCTTTAAGCAGTATTTTTAAACATACCAAGCAATTTTCTGCTAGCATAAAAGGGTTCTTTGGACATTCTTTCCTAGAAACTAAAATAAAATCAACATTTGTCTGCATTTTTTGCTGTAATAAGTACGAAAGAAAAGTACTGAAATTGACCATCATGTAAAATTATAGAGGGATTGCTATTAATCATAGCCTGTCACTACTTATAGCAATATTCACAGCTGTCATCTAAGCCAGGCAAACAGCTGTTCTATTAATTGAGAAAGAAGTTAGCAAAGAGAGTGGGTGAAAAAAAAAGAGGGAGTTTGAAACATTCGAGACAAGTGGCACTTGACCAAAGTTGCTTTGAAGTTTTGTTATTGTTAATGTGATGCAAACAATGATCCACCCCCTAATTTCTACCAGATGAATACAATGACTGAACATAAAAGGCCACTGATTATAGATAGTCCTCGACTTACAACCGAGCCCAACATTTCTGATGTTGTGAGTTTTGCCCCATATTTTTATTTATTTATATTTATACAGTAGTGAAGTGAAGAAAAGAGTTCACAATTGTGTATTCCTCTTGGCTATTAATTCACATCGTAGGGCTGTAGGATCTGGGATTTTCAAATGATTGGATCCTTCATGTTTATCCTTTTTATCTCTTCCATTTCAATTGCCCAACTTCCATCTACTAGTTCTCCTCTACTGTAGTGGCCAAAATTGTGGAAACCTTTTGGGAAAAATGTATTTTAGAGGTTTGATGGCTAATAACACCACTTTTTTTTTTTTTTTTGAGTTTCAAGATAATCCTATTCCACTGCTGGAATGGCCTGGGAATAGCTCAGACCTTAACCCAATTGAAAATCTTATGGAGCCAACTAAAGTAACTTGTTAGTGAGAAGCCACCCAGCAATAAAACCCAGTTAATAGAAGCAATCATTCAATCTTGGTTTCACATTAGAACAGCTGCAGAACTAAAAGACTTGGTTCACTCTGTGGGAAGATGATGTAAGGCCATAATTCATGTAAAGGTTACCCAACAAAGTATTAACTGACATGGTGATAATTTTTGTATATCTCATTTTTTCTATAGTGATCATTTTTGTTTTTTCTACGTGTTTCACTTTTCTTCTTTATACTGTAACTGCTATTCTAATAGCAAATCCTCCATAAAAGTTATTGCATTACATTCTTGATTAAATTATATTTCCATGGATATATAATTTTATGGTACTACCCGAAAAAAAAGTGGCGTTATTAGCTAGTTTTAGAAAATACAACTTTCCCAAAAGGTTTCCACAATTTTGCCCACTACTGTACTGTGTCTTCCCTTCTCTCCATCTTAGCTGAAATTTGCAAGAACAGCACCAACAGGGAAGGACAAATGTCTTCATTTCAAAACTGCCTCAGCAATTGATGAACTCTGTTGGGCTTGTGAGAAGATTTAAAAAAAAAAAAAATCCAGAAAAGCAGATGATTTCTTGTATTAACGGCGATATGAACTAATTCAGTATTCTTCAAAGCTTCGACAACTTTAAAATGTGCGGATTTCAACACCCGGAATTTCTCAACCAGCATTCCTCAACTTTGGGAGCTGAAATCCACACATCATTTAAAAGTTGCCAAGTTTGAGAAACAGGGGATTAGATGATATAAGGAAAATAATCTTGGGGATAATATACACCCTTGAGATCACCACACTGTAAGGTAGAAGTTATGTACACTATATGATTTCTTTCATTAGTGTCAAATCTTTTAGGAACCTAATACCTTACTCATGATGGAATGGGTTTAATTTTGCTCTTTGTTCTCTTTGAAGATTATACACTTGGATTCTTAGTTTTCCTCTAAGAAGGACCTACTTATAAGATCAGAATTAAGGGCTATATTTAAAAAAAAAACACAGGTGCGATTCTTCATCAAATATTTTTAAAATTTCTAATGACCACGTGAAAAGGAGTATAGATTTGCCATCCCTAGTCTGGTGATGATCAAGAGAAGGCAGTTTTAAACAAAAATGAATATATTTGGGCAACTCTGTTAAAGCCTTTTATTAATTCCAAACGAGGAGAAATCAAATAACCTAATCAGGCCTAAAATTACATGGCTCATCTTAATTACTGGACTTCAGATTAAGAAAACCCAGATCTTAGCTAACATTTAACTACTAATGCCATCTTTCCCAAACTGTCACTCTGAATTTCCGCAGGTTATTTTAAATTTTCAAAGGAAGTGCATCAATACTGAACATCTGTTGCATAGTGCACAAATTACTAGCCCAATATCACTGTGCTTCCTTCAAAAATGTAAAATATTCCACGGTGTCTCAGTGAATTCATAGTTCTCTTAGATGTTGGGAGTTCCTGAGCTGTGCTGTTACATCTCGGAGAAACTCTACCAACACCATGAAGAAGCCGAGGGTGGCGTGAACTGAGAAAATTTTGAAACCTCCCTATTAATTCCTCTACACAGGGATTGTAAATAATTGCAGCCTATTCCTTACTGGAATTATACTCATCAGTTGGTTTAAAATGCCAATTTCTAGCGTGAATCTGCCTTAGCTACATTGAATCTGGATGCAACACTCTGCACCTTAACTTCCATATCACTCACAATATCCTTTTCCGCAAATGAATGTGATCGGATCCATGTTTTAAAGCAAGCTGGGTCTTAAATTGGCATCAGACGTTAAGAGGACAAATAATTCAGCACGCAGGGGAGTTGATAATAAGGGGCACTAAGGGAATACTAACTGTTGTGTTTGTGCACAGATAAGTTACATAAACAAGTCAACGCTTCTTATCCAGCTTAACCCTATTTAGAAATGTTCTCCTGCAGAAATATGTGCGTATTAAACAGTTTCCACAGCTGCATTTTCTGGTCGAAATCTTGTCACATAAAAAATTAGATGTCCTTGTCAATTCAGAGGGATCAGAAATATAGCGAAGTGGTAAGTCATTGACCAGTCCATATTTTTAAAGCAACTGACTAAAGAATGATTAAGAACAAACACTGTTACTAGAAAATACACCAGGATTTGGCCTCTGTTTACATGTATGCTTGATGTTTTGTAATCCAAATGCACTTTTGAGGCCTCCGTTAGGAAAAAAAAAAAAACCCTAATACTATCTAATGCATCTTTCCATCTGAGAAATCACCGTTAACATTAGTCGAATTGTAAAGAAGCCGGATTTATTTGATTTGAAGAGATTAGTGTACTTCATTTATTTATACTAGTTTCTTCCTTACCGATAAAAGCTGCTGAAATAATCCTAATGGTTATCAACGGCATGTTGGTGTTATGTGCAAACCAATTAATTTGGATTGTTCTTGACTAATATGTATATTTTGGGGCCTTTAAAAGGAAAATATTACAGGACTTCTGATTTGCGTATCAATCAACGGTAGGTAGACTTGACGGAGAGGAAAAGCAGTCGAGGGGGTTTAAATTTACTTATTCATTATAAGTCTTGATTTCTTAAGGATCCTGGCTTTGTGGGAGATGCAGTACAACTAACGTGTTCTCCCAGGATTTCCTTTGTAAGACTGAATTAAACTGTGGGATTCATTATCTCAGAAAATGAGACAGCTAGCTTCTTTTTTCAGTTGTAGATAGAAATGAAAAAAAAAGCTCTATTACTTTTGAATTTTATAAATAGTCTATCAATGTATATAACAAAAGACTTTGATTCTGTTTTGGGGTTTTACTAGTAATACCTACATTTATTTAGTATGTTTTTTTTTTCCAAAGTTGCTTTGTTTCCTATGAACAGCAAAAGGTGGCTTAAAGATATTGCAGTTAAATAGAAACTAGCTGGGATTTGAGCACATTAGCAGCAGCCACTAGTTATGACTCCCAATGCGCTCAACGGAAGGAGGCATGCTCTGCATGACAATAGCATACAGTAAAATAAATTAAAATAGATACATGGACAAAGTCTCCATACTATATACAGAGGAATGCGAGTTTTACAGGACAATATTGAAGAACACCAGAAACAGTTCTCATTGAGCTCAACTGGACTTTGTAAGAACATTCCCAGTCCGTGACGCTGATTTAAGGGATTTAACAGAATGACAGTATTGGAAGGGACCCTTGAAGGTCTTCTAGTCCAACCCCGCCCTCAAACAGGAAACCCTATACCAGTGATGGCTAATCTTTTTGCCATCGCGTGCCAGGAGGGGGCGGGGTGGGGGGGGTCGTGCGTGCGTGTGCCCTCACCCATAATTCTGTGCACCCTTCCCCCATGCATGCATGCGCGACCCCCCCACCATGCTCCCCCCCGCTCCTGGCACGCGATGGCCCGGTAGGCACATTTTTCTCTCTCATCTGGCTCCAGAGCCTTTCTAGGAGTAAAGAGAGGGCGAAAACGGCTTTTCCCACCCACCCCGGAGGCCAGAAACAGCCCGTTTGCCAACTTCCTGTGGGACCGGAAGGCCCATTGTTTGCTGTCCTCAGACTCCAGAGCCTCCCTAGGAGTCTGGGGAGGGCAAAAACGGCCCATTTGCCAACTTCTGGTGGGACCAGAAGGCCCATTGTTTGCTGTCCTCAGGCTCCAGAGCCTCCCTAGGAGTCTGGGGAGGGCAAAAACGGCCCATTTGCCAACTTCTGGTGGGACTTGCATGCCCAGTGATATGGCTAAGCGTGGCACCTATGGCACGCGTGCCATAGGTTCACCATCATGGCCCTATACCATTTCAGACAAATGGTTGTCCAATCTCTTCTTGAAAACCTCCAGTGCTGGAACACCCAACCAATTTTGTTAACTCCACTCTTGTATTAAGACAGACAGACAGACAGACAGACAGACAGACAATCCATTAGTCTTGAAATCTATGAATCACATTAAGAGAATGAGACAAATTATCCCAGAAAAGATTTAAAGGGATATAAAGAATAGAGGGGGGGGGGGCTCCCCTACATTAACGCTTCATTTTCTTAAGAACATTTCAAAAGATTGCTTTCCTTTCGGTGGATCTTTTTTGCATGTATGAAGAAACAACAACTTTGGAAAAGATACAAAGATGTGGAAGTCAAAATAGGACAAGAGAATCAGAATCAGAATAGAGTTGGAAGGTACCGTGGGGGTCTTTTAGATCAACCCCCTGCTCAAACAGGAGATCCTATACCATTTCAGACAAGTGGCTGTCCAGTCTTTTCTTAAAATAAAAACCTCCAGTGATGAAGCACCTACAACTTCTGGTGGCAAGCCGTTCCACTGGTTCATTGTCCTCCCTGTTAGGAAGTCTCTCCTTAATTCCAGGTTGCTTCTCTCCTTGATGAGTTTTCCATCCATTGTTTCTTTTTCTTGCCTTCAGGTGCTTTGGCAAACAAGTTGACCCCCTCCTCTTTGTGGCAGCCCCTCAAATACTGGATTACTGTTTTATCATGCCCCCCCCGCCCCCCCAGTCCTTCTTTCCTCTAGACCGGCCAAACCCAAATCCTGAAATACCTTTAAGCTAAGAAGAAGCCCAAGTGACAGATATTTGACAAGCCTGGAAAAAGGAGATGAGAGAGAGAGGGAGGGAGAGAGAGGGAGGGGCAGAGAGGGAGGGGGAGAGAGAGGGAGAGAGAGTGATGGAGGGAGACGGAGAGGGAGAGAGGGGGTGAGAGATAGGGGAGAGAGGGAGGGAGAGATGGAGGGAGGGGGAGAGGGAGGGAGGGAGGGAGAAAGAGTGATGGAGGGAGATGGAGATGGAGAGAGTGGGTGAGAGATAGATAGAGAGGGAGGGAGAGATGGAGGGAGAGGGAGAGAGAGGGAGGGAGGAGAGCGAGAGAGAAGGAGAGAGAGAGGGAGAAAGAGTGATGGAGGGAGACGGAGAGAGTGGGTGAGAGATAGAGGGAAGGAGAGATAGAGGGAGGGGGAGAGAGAGGAGGGAGGGGGGAGGGGGGAGAGCAAGAGAGAGGGAGAGAGAGAGGGAGAAAGAGTGATGGAGGGAGACGGAGAGGGAGAGAGTAGGTGAGAGACAAGAGGAGGGAGGGAAAGATGGAGGGAGGGAGGGGGAGAGAGGGAGGGAGAGGGAGATGGAGGGAGGGGCAGAGAGATGGAAGGAAGGGGGTGTGAGAGAGGGAAGGGGGGAGAGATGAGGGAGGGGGGAGGGGAGACATGGAGGAAGTGGGGGAAGATATATGGAGAGAGGGGGCAGAGATGGAGGGAGGGCAAGAGAGGGGGGAGGAGAGGGAGGGAGGAGAGGGTGGGAGAGGGAGGGGGAGAGAGATGATGGAGGGAGGGGGAGAGAGAGAGATTGAGAGAGGGGGGGGAGGAGGGAGGGGGGGGGAGAGAGTGGGTGGGATTTCAGCAGGGATGGGGGGAGGGGGGGGGGAGGAGAAAGAAAAGGGAGATGGGGGAGGGGGGGATTGGGGAAAAAAAAGGATGAAAAAAGGGGAGAGAGTCTCTCTAGCTGCCCAACCTGGGACTCTCTTCCCGCGGGCTGGAGAACTGCAACTCCCCAGAACCTGCCACCTCGCAGCCAAAGGCAAAGCGGGGCTGAGGATCCTGGTTGTAGTGCCAGAGGCCGGAAGGCGCCCGCTTGGTGGCGGTGGGGAAAAAGAAAGAAGCGGGGGATGGAAAAAACCAGGGAAGGGGGGGGGAGGGCAGGACAAGTGGGGGGGGGTGGTGGGGGGGCTCCACTCGACCTGACGGACGGACGGCCTAACCGGGCAGGCGTGTGTGGGGGAGGGGATCGACTATAGGCCGCCTCCCACCCCCCCCCACACCCCACCCCCCAACCCCCCACACCCAACACCCCCCCCCGAACTCACAACTCGCTCTTGCCGGATTTCTCCCAGTTGCGGATCCATTCGGCGGGAGCGCCGCCGCCACCATCGCGGATGTCGCCGCCGCCATTTTCCCCGTGTGGCGCGGAGAGCCCGGATGCCAGAACGACGACGGGCCCTGCGAGGTCAGAGGGGACGGCGGAGAACGGCCGCGCGAGGCACGCCGGGAAAGCGAGCCCCGCATCGCGCAGGAAGACGAGGACGGGGTGGGGGGGGGAGGAGGAGGAGGAGGAGGCGGAGCAAGAAGGAGGAGGAGGAGGTGAAGCGGAGGAGGTGAAAGAGGAAAAAAAAAACGGCGGCGGCGGGGACGTCAAACAGCAACCTCAAACTCCCCGAGCCGAAGCGAGGGAGACGGAGAGAAAAGAAGAAGGAAAAAAAAAAAAAAGGCTGCGGTAGGTGAACCGCAGAATCAATCCTCATCCGGAGAAGCTTTCCTTTCGTCCGCTAAATGCGGCGCTGGTGGGAAGGCTCGGCTATGGGTTGGTTGGATGCTTGATTGGATGGATGGGTCGTAAGCCACAAACCGGGTTTAAGGCAAAGCCATAGATTGTGCGGAGGTTCGAGGGACGGTGCATTATGGTCGTCGGGGTTTTGGAACCCCCCCCCCATGATTGGGGGTGTGTGTATGGTCCGTTATATCAGTGGTGGGTCTCGATCTGAAGGACTTTTGAGGGTTTGGGGGGTTTCTAACACCCAGCCAGCAAGTAGCTGGCTTGGGGAATTCTGGGAGTGGAAGGCTAGAGGGTTGGACTAGATGACCTAACGAGGTCTCTTCCAACTTTGTTAATCTGTTAAAAAAAAAAAAGTCCAAGCTTCCTAAAGTGGGTTGCGAGACAATGTGCGATGCACGTCCCTAAAGCGTGCAAAACCGGATGGATGTCGGATCAGCGCGTGGTGGTTCAAATCCCCGCAGTACTGCAGGCTACTTCTGCGGATCGCTGCCTGCCAGCGTGTTTGGCGGGTCGAATCTCACCAGGCTCAAAGGTTGACTCGGCCTTCCGTCCTTCCGAGGTGGGTAAAATGAGGACCCAGATTGTTGGGGGGCAATAGGCTGACTCTGTAAACCGCTTAGAGAGCGCTGTGAAAGCACTGTGAAGTGGTATATAAGTCTAAGTCCAAAGCTACAAACCTTCCTTCCTCTTCCCTTCCTTTCCCTATCCATCCATCCATAAAAGCTCAAGGTTGACTCAGACCTCCATCTTTCCGAGGTGGGTAAAATGAGGACCCAGATTATTGGGGGCAAGAGGCTGATTCTACAAACTGTTTAGAGTGCTGTAAAAGCACTATGAAGCAGTATAAATTTAAGTCCAAAGCTTTTCTTTCTTTCTTTCTTTCTTTCTTTCTTTCTTTCTTTTCTTTCTTTCTTTCCTTCTTCCTTCCTTCCTTCCTTCCTTCCTTCCCTCCTTCCTTCCCCTCCCTTTCCCTTCCCCTTCCCTATCCATCCATCCATCCCAGCTCAAGGTTGACTCAGCCGTCCATCCTTCCGAGGTGGGTAAAATGAAGACCCAGATTGTTGGGGGCAATACGCTCTCTGTAAACCGCTTAGAGAGGGCTGTAAAGCACTGTGAAGCGGTATATAAGTCTAAATGCTATTGCTATAAGAAACCATGGTTAAGCTCTTATGTTGGCTAGGGCTTAGCATTTTGGGTGAATTCATCTTTTTGCGCCTGCCTTGTTTGCAAAGATATCAGGACAGGGTCTCTTTTTCCATTCAAACCAGCCCACCTCGACCCTCCTTGGCAAAAGCTGCCTAGTCAGGGGGTCCCCGTGGGGCTAGGCAATCCAAAGGAGCTGTGCATCGTGGGTGGGGTAGTGGGAAGCATCAGTTGGGAGGGTGGCAGGACTTTCCAACCAGCCAACCCCGGAATTTGGGCCCCAAGGCAATCTTGGGGCGCAATTTTCCTCCAGTCCGTTATTCCAGGACTGGAGGAAAACTGGACTTTCTTGGCTTTTCTTTCGAAGGCCTTTCGCTTCTCCTCCAAGAAGCTTCTTCAGCTCTGACTTGGTGGGTGGGGAATGGAAGGATTTATATTCCTTGCAGACAGCTTGGTCCTTTGCATCCTTTTAGAGCAGTGTTTTCCTAACCTTGGCTATTTTAAAACGCATGGACTTTGACTCCCAGAATTCCCCAGGCAGTATGGCTGGTTGAGGAATTCTGGGAGTTGAAGTCCATACATCTTCAAAGGATCAAGGTTGGGAAACACAGTTTTAGAGGGTCCTTGAAGGACTTGGGAGGTTTATCTGTGGTCCTCAGGGTCACCTGAGGACAACAGATAAAACTCCAAGTGCTTTAACCAATCCTTCCATTCCCCACTATCCTGTAGAGTTGAAGAAGCTTCTTGGATGAGAAGCGAAACCTCTTCAAAAGGAAAAAAACTCAAGAAAGTCCAGTTGCCTCTTGGGGAAAAAAAAAAAAACAAGTGTCTTTGGGACAATCCTGAGGTTGCCATTCCCAAGACAGTGCCAAGCTTTCCATTCCCCACTATCCTGTAGAGTTGAAGAAGCTTCTTGGATGAGAAGCGAAACCTCTTCAAAAGGAAAAAAACCCAAGAAAGTCCAGTTGCCTCCTGGAAAAAAAAAAACACAAGTGTCTTTGGGACAATCCTGAGGTTGCCATTCCCAAGACAGTGCCAATCCTTCCATTCCCCACTATCCTGTAGAGTTGAAGAAGCTTCTTGGATGAGAAGCGAAACCTCTTCAAAAGTAAAAAAAAACAAGAAACTCCAGTTGCCTCCTGAAAAATAAACACCTTTGGGACAATCCTGCCATTCCCAAGACAGTGCTCAACTCGGGTTTCAGGACTAAGGGTCAGGGTGGGTGGGTGCGTGGGTTTCCCCCTTGCACGACCCACACTAATTTTACGCTTGCAGACCGCATGGGGACCAGCGTGCTCACGCGCGCTCCAACCGTTCCAATTGCAGCGGGGAAAGAGGCAGGCTTTGCACGTGTGAACGCGCTCCGCTCGCTTTGCGGGTCCGCGCGGGGGGGGGGGGGGCTCTTTGCAAAATCCGAGTTGAAGGAGGGTCGAGAGAAGCGAGGCAGCAACCCTCGGGAGACCCTCTCCCACCCACCCACCCGTGCATTTTTCCCGGGCGACCCTCCGGATTGCTGCAGCCAGCCGAGTCCTCCGTCCGGCGGGGCGCCCGATCCTCCGGCAGCTCCTCCCCGAGGCCGCGGGGAGGCGCTTCTTCTTCTTCTCCGGGCTGCGGAGGGAGAGAAGGAGCCGGAGGACCAGCAGCCATTTTTCGGGTTGGCCGAACGCGTTCCCGGCGAAGAGTAGCCGGACAAGCGGGGTGAGTGCGGGCGGAGGGACTTTTCCCCCCCAAGAACACCCGTCCCCATCATCCCCGGCCGGGATCCTGCGGAGAATGGGCTTTGGAACCCCGCTTCTGTAGGGGGGGGAAAGGGGCAAACGGACCCCGCTTGGCTGCCCTTTTACAGCGGGAACACCCTTCCCCATCCTCCCCGGCTTGGTTCCTGCGGAGTATGGGCTTTGGAACCCCGCTAATGTGCGGGCGGAGGGGCGTACGGACCCCGCTGCAACGGGAACACCCCTCCCTATCCTCCCCGGCCGGGATCCTGCGGGCTGCGGAGAATGAGCTTTGGAACTCCGCTTCTCTGCGGAGGCGGAGGGGCAAATGGACCGCGCTTGGGAGTTTTGGAACACCCATCCCCATCATCCCCAGCCTGGATCCTGCGGGCTGCGGAGCATGGGTTGTGCAACCCGGCTTCTCTGCGGGGCGGAGGGGCAAACGGAACCCCCCGCTGGGACGCCCTTCTGCATTGGGAACACCCATCCCCATCATCCCCAGCCTGGATCCTGCGGGCTGCGGAGCATGGGTTATGCAACCAGGCTTCTCTGCGGGGCGGAGGGGCAAACGGAACCCCCCGCTGGACGCCCTTCTGCATTGGGAACACCCATCCCCATCATCCCCAGCCTGGATCCTGCGGGCTGCGGAGAATGGGCTTTGCAACCCCGCTTCTCTGCAATACCCGGGTTTCCTTTCGCCCTCCCAAATGATTTTTTTCCTCGCCCCCGTTTTCCCCTCCCAGGATCTGGGACTTTTTGCATTGCAAAACACGCGTGGGCGCGGCGGTCGTGGGAATGCCTCCCCACGCGGGGAGTGGGGGGGGGTTTACAAAAGGCAAACCCACCAAAAAATAGTCCGGCTGAAGTCTTTTTTGCCAGACCCGGCTAGGTGGAAAGGGAAGGGCGGAGATCTCTTGATCTTTCTTCCTTCCACGCGGGCGGGCGGTCCCGCGTGGGGACGCCACCGCCGCGCGGGTTAGCAGCTTGCATTCCATGCCTGCGGTGGGTTTTTGGTTCCCGGCACCAGAGTTTCGTTTCCCAGCTTTTTGGATTAAGATTGCTAAGAAGGGGAATTAGAAAGAGGGGGGAGGGAAGGAAAAATAGGGGATTTTTGCTATCGTAAAAAATGCCTTCTCGCGTGGGCAGGTCGGGACGCTCGCCCTTTGCTCAGCTGATTAACCTTCGAGCTTAATTTAGGGATTTATGGCTCTAGGGCAGCGTTTCTCAACCTTGGCCGCTGGACGATGTGTGGACTTCAACCCCAGAATTCCCCAGCCAGCATAGCTGGCTGGGGAATTCTGGGAGTTGAAGTCCACACATCGTCCAGCGGCCAAGGTTGAGAAACGCTGCCCTAGGGATTCATGCTTGGCAGTTGGAAATGTCTTCAGACATAACCCACTGGAGTGGCTGGATAAAATTCTTCCTGGGAGAAAATGAGGATTCAGATTGGGGAAACCTGCCCACCTTTTTCATCCACTCCACCCATCATTTCCTGCTCGTTTTTTCCCCCCCTAAGCAATTAGTAGAAACCAGCATGGCAAGAAGGAAGGAAAAAAATAATAATTAAATAATTAAATAAATAATATATATATGCATATTCTCCCAGAGAGCAACACAGAGTTGCAGTTTGTCAGCAGAAAAAGGGCCCAAGAACTTGTGAATGAGATTTCACAGAACCTAGGGCTGTAGAACAACTAAGTTTACGTAGGTAAAACCTGGCTAGAAAGAATATGCACATAAAAGCCTACGAAAAAGAATATATATATATATATTTATATATATATATATAAACATATATATATACATATATATATACATATATATACATATATATATAATATTAATATATATATATAATTAATTTATTTGCCGGACTTGAACATTTTGACTCTACAAAAAACCACCTTACTTGGAACAGCTTACATCCTCCGACGATACCTTAACGGTTCCTAGGTCCTTGGTTAGGACTTGAGCTGCTGAGCTATTAACTAGCCTCAAAGGCTGTGAATCTCATTAAAGATTAACCAATAATAATAATAATAATAATAATAATAATAATAATAACATCCTCCGACGATACCTTAACAGTTCCTAGGTCCTTGGTTAGGACTTGAGCTGCTGAGCTATTAACCAGCCTCAAAGGCTGTGAATCTCATTAAAGATTAACCAATAATAATAATAATAATAATAATAATAATAATAATAATAACATCCTCCGACGATACCTTAACGGTTCCTAGGTCCTTGGTTAGGACTTGAGCTGCTGAGCTATTAACTAGCCTCAAAGGCTGTGAATCTCATTAAAGATTAACCAATAATAATAATAATAATAATAATAATAATAATAATAATAATAATAACATCCTCCGACGATACCTTAACAGTTCCTAGGTCCTTGGTTAGGACTTGAGCTGCTGAGCTATTAACCAGCCTCAAAGGCTGTGAATCTCACTAAAGATTAAATAATAATAATAATAATAATAATAATAATAATAACCGACGATACCTTAACAGTTCCTAGGTCCTTGGTTAGGACTCGAGCTGCTGAGCTATTAACCAGCCTCAAAGGCTGTGAATCTCACTAAAGATTAAATAATAATAATAATAATAATAATAATAATAATAATAATAATAATAATAATAATGGAGACTGGTGGCACAGCAGACCAAAGCACTGTTAAGTAGCACCAGCTGCCTGCAATTACTGCAAGTTCAAATCTCACCAGGCTCAAGGTTGACTCAGCCTTCCATCCTTCCGAGGTAGGTAAAATGAGGACCCGGATTGTGGGGGGCAATAAGCTGACTTTGTATAAAATAGAACATCGCTTGGGGCCCCCCAAAAAGCCCTACTAAGCAGGTATATACAAAAGTATGAAGGCTATTGCTTAACGTATTGTAAGCCGCCCTGAGTCTCCGGAAAAGGGCAGCATATAAATTGAACCAATAAATAAATTATTTATTTATTTATTTATTAAATTTATATCCCGCCCTTCTCCCCGAAGGGACTCAGGGCGGTGAACAGCCGAGAATTAAAATAACATACAATATAAAAGTTAAAATAATTAAAAATAAATTAAATTAAACGGCCGCCCCAATTTAAAACCCCTAGCAATACAATTTTAAAAAAAAACCCTAAAACCTATTCAGGCCAGGCCGGCTTGCTGAAATAAAAACGTCTTCAGGGACTTACGGAAAGCGCGGAGGTCCAGGATCAGCCGTATTCCAGAAGGTATTTCATTCCACAGGTTGGATGCCCCCACAGAGAAGGCTCTCCCCCTGGGGGCCGCCAGCCGACATTGCTTGACCGACGGCACTCTGAAGAGGCCCTCTCTGTGAGAGCGTATTGGCCGGTGGGAGGTTATCGGTAGCAGCAGGCGGTCTCGTAAATACCCTGGCCCTAAGCCATGGAGCGCTTTAAAGGTGAGGACCAACACCTTGAAGCGCACCCGGAAGACCACCGGGAGCCAATGCAGCTCGCGCAGGAGAGGTGTTACGTGGGAGCGCCACATCACTCCCATAATCACCCGCACGGCACTCTGAGCCAGTTGGAGCCTCCGGGTGCTCCTCAAGGGGAGCCCCATGTAGAGAGTGTTAGCGTAGTCCAGGCGAAAAGTGACGAGAGCATGAGTGACTGTGGATAAAGAATCCTGACTCAGAAAGTTAAATAATTAACTTTCTGAGTAAATTAACTATTTATTAAATAAATAAATAAGTAAGTAAGTAAGTAAGTAAGTAAGTAAGTAAGTAAGTAAGTAAATGGAGATTTTTAAAGATTTTTTTTTTAAAAAAAATTAGATTTGACCCCAGTGTCAAAATAAGAGAAGTATAGGAAAAGGTGAGGAAACACACAACTCCCAAAGTCACATGTTGTGGGCGTTTGCTGTGGGAAATTTCCCAATCTTTCAAACTGGTTTTTCCACTTTGTCAGCTGACAAGAAGGGAAAACAAAAACTCTGCATATTCAGCCAAGCTGGTCCATAGTTGGGGAAGTGTGAGCTTTCCTTAGCCATGGAAAGAACATTTTACATTTTCTGCTAGACCTGCTCTCTTGAGGATGGAGAAGGATGCTGCTTTCAAGGTTTTAAATAAAACAACATTTTATTTCAAAATTTAAATACAAAATTATCAACGATTAATTTGTAAAGCCTCCTGGAAATCACCCTGTAAGAGAGTTGGATGGCATAGACATTTAATCAATAAAATATTTAATTTTTTTTTCACAATTTGAAACCACCTGGGCGCTGTACCATAAAATGTTAAAATATAAAAAACAGGTTACAGGTTTTTTTTTTTTTTTTTTACAAAATGTAGAAGGAGGCGAGAATGATTTTGATGCTGTTAAATTAGGGTTTTAATTAATTAATTAATTAATTAAAATGAGCTAAAAGGCGAAGGGAGGACTTTCAGGGTGCTAACCAACCCTGTGGATGATGGTCCTTTGGGGCTCCCCATGTAAGGTTGCACAGTCATGTTTGAATCCCTTTTCAGAGGGCCAGGAGAATAGGGGCTCACCTCACTTCTGGAGGGGAGAGGGGGGGGGCAATTGCCAAGAAGGCTCTCTTCCTGGTCCCCCCTCATTGGAATTCTTTAACTGATGTGGTCCCCAACATCCTTTCCCTGCCTGACCTGTTAGGATGATCTAACGTGTTCTCCAAAGCACCAGAAGGCAGGACAAGAAGCAATGGGTGGAAACTTATCAAGGAGAGAAGCAGCTTAGAACTAAGGAGAAATTTCCTGACAGCGAGAACAATGAATCAGTGGAACGACTTGCCTCCAGAAGTTATGGGTGCTCCCAACACTGGAGGTTATCAAGAAGAGATTGGACAGCTCGTTGTTCCGAAATGATGTAAGGTTTCCTGCTTGGAGCAGAAGGTTGATCTCCAAAGTCCCTTCCAACTCTTTGTTATTCTCTAACAGGACGAAGACAGCTCCCTAGGTAGACTGCCCCCCCCATGCCACGTTCAAGGTGCTTTGAAGATGGTCCTACTATGTTGATGTTGTCCGTTCAGTCGTGTCCAACTCTTGGTGGTTCTATGAGCCAGGTCCCTCCACATCTTCTAATCTTTTTTTTTTTTTTTAATTTGATTTATATGCCGCCCTTCTCCGGAGACTCAGGACAGCTTACAATGCGTTACAATGCCTTCATACAATGCCTTCATCCTTTTGTATATTTTTACAAAGTCAGCTTATTGCCCCCACAAACTGGGTCCTCAATTTACCTACCTTAGAAAGGATGGAAGGCTGAGTCAACCTTGAGCCTGGCGAGATTTGAACTTACTAATTGCAGACAGCTGGAGTTAAATTACAATGCATTAGTCTGCTGAGCTATCCAGACTCCTAAGCCTCAGAAACATGTGTGCACCAGCCACCTGTTTTTCTGGTTTCTGGCGCTTCAGCACACATGAAACCAGCTGGCCAGCACACATGCATACGCCAGAAACCAGAAGACAAGATTAAGAGTCTTGGTAGTACAGTGGTCTAAGGCACCCTGTTATTAAGCTGGTTATTAAGACCAGCTGCCTGCAATTACTGCAGGTTCGAATCTCGCCAGGCTCAAGGTTGACTCAGCCTTCCATCCTTTCTAAGGTAGGTGAAATGAGGACCCAGATTGTGGGGGCAATAAGCTGACTTTGTATAAATATACAAAAAAGATGAAGGCTATTGCTGAGCACATTGTAAGCCGCCCTGAGTCTCCGGAGAAGGGCGGCATATAAATCAAATTTAAAAAAAAAAAAAAAAAGGTGGCCAGCGCACGCATGCGTGCCGGCCACCTAGTCTTCAACTTTTTGGGGCTCCGGTGCACACGTGTGCAGACGTGTGCATGCACATTCCAGTTTGGTCACTCGGTGCCGAAAAGGTTCGCCATCCCTGCCCTAACTCTTCCCAACACAATTGCTTTCTCCAGTGAATTTTGACCTGGTCGAAAATCAGCATGACGCAGTTTTGTGATTTTGCTTTCCAATGATGATGTCCTCCTAACATTATCTTCGCAGTGTCTCTCTTAACGTTGCACGTGTTCTTTTTATTTAGGAAATCTGGAGGAAACTCCGTCCGCGAGAGGGATGACGTGTAATGGCCCCGTTTCGGAGGATCCCGCACCAGACTTGGCTCAGTTGACTTCCAGACAAGAAACCTTTGCCCGTTTTCCAAGCCGCTGCCCCGTTTCTTCCTCGGACTTAGCCCGGGCTGGGTTCTTCTACACGGGAGAAGGAGACCAAGTCAAATGCTTTAGCTGCCTTGAGACCCTAGAAGGATGGGAAGAGGGAGACTCGGTGGTTGGAAGGCACAAAATTGTCTCTCCGAACTGCCCCTTTATCAACGATGCCAACTTCGAAGAGGGTCGTCTACTTTCCGGCCTCCCAAACGGTCCCCCTGGAAGAGAACCCGCCGCCGCCACCTCCATCCCAACCGATTCCGATTTGTCTTCCGATTTTGAGGCCGATTACTTGTTAAGAACCAGGCAAGTGGTGGATCTCTCAGGCTCCCAGTATCCTCAAAACCCAGCCATGTGCAACGAAGAGGTCCGGCTGAGATCTTTTCAACACTGGCCTCCTTACACGCCGGTCACCCCGGAAGAGCTGGCCAACGCGGGGCTCTATTACCGAGGCGTGGAGGACGAAGTGGAGTGTTTTTGTTGCGGGGGGAAGTTGAAAAACTGGGAACCGGGGGACCAGGCGTGGTCGGAACACCGGCGGCATTTCCCGAGGTGCTTTTTCGTCCTCGGACACGATGTGGGGAACGTTGGGAATGTTACCCATCAGCCAGGGAATGGACAGCTGGAGAGAAGCAGCACCCACCGGGTGCCTCCTCTTCCTCCTCCTCTTCATAACCCCTCCATGGCAGATTTTGCAAAGCGCCTCCAGACTTTTGGGGCATGGAGTTACTCGGTGAGCAAGGAGAGGCTTGCTCACGCAGGCTTTTACAGTCTAGGTAAGTGGAGGCCGGATTTTGCAATGGGTCCCCCTTGATTGGGTTCACACAATCTACACACACACACACACACACTGTTCTGCCCCAGCTACGGATCCCAAAGAATGCAGCACACACAAAGTCTAAACAAAACTTAGTTTACTCAAATAACACAGTTTTTTGCAAATGCAGGCTGTTAATAAACATTCTTAACAGCCTGCCAGAATCCACAGATAAGGTAATCAGAGTCTTACTAGGGTTGGCAGAAAGCCCAGAAGCAATGTTGCAGAGAAATCCAAACGCGAAGAAAAACGAACTAAAGATGTTTCCTGCAGCTTGCTGCAATCAGCATTCCTTCTTAAATAGGCTAAGGGAGCAGGCCGCTGGCGGGCCACAACACACACAGTGCCAAACCCAACATCCCTCCTTAGAGATCATCCTTGGCTCATGACCACAAATGAGCCCAAAATGTCTGCTGCTCAAGTGAGACGGTTGTTAAGTGAGTTTTGCTCCATTTTACACCCTTTCTTGCCGCCATTGTTAAGTGAATCATCGCATTTGTTCACTTAGTAACACAGCTGTTAAGTGAATCCGACTTCCTTGTTGACTTTCCATGTCCGAAGGCTGAGTCAACCTTGAGCTGGGATGGATGAATGGATGGATGGATGGATAGGGAAGGGAAGGGAGGGAGGAAGGAAGGATGGAAGGAAAGTAGCAATAGCACTTAGACTTATGTACCACTTTACAGTGCTTTTACAGCCCTCTCTAAGTAGTTTACAGAGTCAGCCTCTTGCCCCCAAGAATCTGGGTCCTCATTTTACCGACCTCGGAAGGATGGAAGGATGAGTCAACCTTGAGCTGGGATGGATGGATGGATGGATGGATGGGATGGGATGGGATGGGATGGGATGGGATGGGATGGGAAGGGAAGGAAGGAAGGAAGGAAGGAAGGAAAGTAGCTATAGCACTTATACACCACTTCACAGTGCTTTACAACTCTTTCTAAACTGTTTACAGAGTCAGTCTCTCGCCCCCAGCAATCTGGGTCCTCATTTTACCCACCTCGGAAGGATGGAAGGAAGGCTTGAGTCAACCTTGAGCCTGCTGAGATGTGATCTGCCAAATTGCAGGCAGCCGGCAGTCAGCAGAAGTAGCCTGCAGTACTGCGTTCTAACCACTGCGCCACCGCGGCTCTTAATTGTAATTTTGAACGGTCACTAAATGAACTGTTGTACGTTGAGGACTACCTGCATTTGCAGTCAAAAGAGTTTTATGTTCATGAACGAGCTGCTTTTTAACCAGGTATCGCTGACGGCGTCGAATGCTTCTCCTGCGGTGGGGGACTGAAGGAATGGAAGGCGGGCGAAGATCCGTGGGAGGAGCACGCGAGATGGTATCCTGGGTAGGAATATTTCACTCTTTTCAGATTGTATCTTGGGATGGGAGTTGCTTTGCAAGATTTGTTCTGATTTAGGCTTCCCCAAAAAGTACGAAGCAGAATCCTGGTCTTGACAAAACCCCTTTTATTAAACGAATGTGAATTCCTCTCATTCACATTCAGCAAAGGCCAAGCAAACAGTCTTTCAAAGGTGTGTTTATGACCACAGACCTTATCTGCCTTGGAAAGCTGCCATGTAAATATTTTCCAAATGCGTTGCTGTGCGAGGAAAGACTTGGCACAGAGTCTCTGAGATTGACGGACAGATCTTCACACTCCTGAACCAAAGGAACAAATGAAAAGAATTGTTTCCTGCAAAAGGCCACTCCCCTTTTGCTCCTCTTTTATTTTCTATGGGAGGGGCCATTCATTGTCCACCTGTGGCTTTACTCCCAAGTCGACCCTGATTTCTTAGCTGTTTTTTTCTTCTGGCAGCTCTGCATATGCACACCCTGGGAACAGGATCCAGCTGTTCCTCTGCCTCACTGCTGTTTAGCTCTGGAGGCAGCTGATTACTGCCGGACAACCTTGGCCCCCTCTCTGCCTCCAATGCAGAGCCCTCGTCCGAACCTTCTCCAGCCTCCAGGGCTGGTCCATGTTCCTCCCCAACCTCCTCACTGTCCAACTCTGCTGGTGGGCCACAACAATGTTTTTTTTTTAATCTTTAGCTCAGGGATATCAAAAACCAGATGTGTCAGAAGCGGAAAGCTTTGGACTCTAGAAAGAGCAACAAAGATGATTAGGGGGCTGGAAGCTAAAACATATGAAGAACGGTTGCAGGAACTGGGTATGTCTAGTGTAAAAGAAGGACTAAGAGTGAAAGGATAGCAGTCTTCCAATATTTGAGGGGCTGCCACAAAGAAGTGGGAGTCAAGCTATTTTTCAAAGCACCAGATGAGAAACGATGGATGGAAACTAACCAAGGAGAGAAGCCACCTAGAAGTAAGAAGAAACTTCCTGATGGACCAATCAACCAGATTATGTAGTGGCTATGATAACCCCACAAAGAAGAGGGGGGGGGGTGTCAGCTTATTTTCCAGAGCACCAGAAGGGAAGATAAGAAGCAATGGAGGGAAACTAATCAAGGAGAGAAGCAACCTGGGATTAAGGAGAAACTTCCTAACAGTGAGGACAATTAAGCTGTGGAACCACTTGCCACCAGATGTTGTGGGTGCTTCATCACTGGAGGCTTTTAAGAAGAGATAGGACAGCCATTGGTCGGAAATGCTATAGGGCCGTGATGGCTAACCTTTTTGCCATCACGTGCCAGGAAGGGGGGTATGGGGGAGGTTCGCACCTGTGCGCGTGCCCACACCCATAATTCTACGCGCCCCGCCCTGTGCATGCGCATCCAACCCTCCCTCCCCTCCCCCCGCTCCTGGCACGCGATGGCCTGATAGGCCCATTTTTCTTTGTCGCCTGGCTCCAGATCCTCTCTATGCATCTGGGGAGGGCGAAAACAGCCTTCCCCACCCTCTCCAGGCCCTCCGGAGGCAGGAAACAGCCTGTTTCCCTACTTCTGGTGGGCCCAAAAGGGCTGAAAATCAGGTGGCCAGCGCGTACGTGTGCACCAGAGCTGAGTTGGCGTGCCCACTGATATGGCTGCACGTGCCACCTGTGGCACACGTGCCACAGGTTCGCCATCTTGCTTGAGCAGGGGGTTGGTCCAGAACAGGGGTCTCCAACCTTGGCCACTTTTAAGCCTGGCGGACTTCAACTCCCAGAATTCCCCAGCCAGCAAAGTTAGCTGGGGAATTCTGGGAGTTGAAGTCCGCCAGGTTTAAAGTGGCCAAGGTTGGAGACTTCTGGTCTGGAAGACCTCCAAGGACGACTCTTAAGAGGTGTGATGGAGCCCCAGGGGCGAGTGAGTGGTAGAAAAGGGTTGCTCTAAAGAGCCAATTGTTTACATTAAATGTTGCTCATAGAATCATAGGGCCAGAAGGGATCTTGGAGGTCTTCTAGTCCAACCTCCGTCCCAAGGAAGGAGTCTTTATTCCTTATGCTATTAAGGATGCTTTTGGGGAAAAGCTTTCTCGACAGCAAGAAGATAATTGAGGTCACCTAATCAGACTTCTTCTGAATCCAGTTTTGAAGGTACCTGGACCGTGTCCAGCCTGCTTTAGGGCACTGTGGGTTGTGTGGGTTCAGATCAGGGTGGCTCTTTGTTCCCCAAAGAAAAGTTGCCGTTGTAATCTGTGAATTAGATGCCTGCTTTCTTCAGGTGCCTTCAGCGTGGCTCATTTTGCTCCCACCTTTTGTACCTAGGTGCAAATACCTGGGAGAAGAAAAGGGACAAGCTTTTGTGAATGGCGTTCATTTAAAGTCTTTGCCCCCAGAATCAACTGTAAGTCTGCTTTTTCTTTGTTGGAGTGTCTGTCTTGTTGGAAAGAGACTTCTGTCTTCTTCTTTTTTTCTTTCTTTCTTTTTCTTTTCTTTCTTTTTTCTTTCTTTTTTCTTTTTCTTTCTCTTTTTCTTTCTATCTTTTACATTTTCTTTCTTTTGCTTTTTTCTTTTTCTTTCTTTCTCTTCCTGACTTCCTCTTTCTTTCTTTCTCTCTCTCTCTCTTTTCTTTCTCCATTCCTTTCTTTCTTTCTCTTTTTCTCTTTTTCTTTCTCTTTTCTTTTTCTTTTTCTTTCTCTTCCTGTCTTCTATCTTTTCTTTCTCTTTCTCTTTTTTCTTTCTTTCTCTTTCTTTTTCTTTCTTTCTCTCTTTTTTCTTTCTCCTTTTCTCTTTTTCTCTGTTTTTTATTTTTCTCTTTGTTGTTCTTTCTCTTTTTCCTCTTCGTCACTCTCTCTTTTTCTTTCTCTCTTTTTCCTCTCTCTTTCTCTCTCTTTCTCTTTGCTTCCGCCATGCACTCAAACCAACTCTGCAGGCGCTCTAGTTTTCGGATGAATGTGGATTTTAAATCATGCATGCATCGAGCCAATTAAATTAGTAGAAAGGCTTGAGTTACTATCCCGCGGTCTCTCCAGCTGTCTCCCCGTGAGCAGATGGCATTCCCATCCGCAGCTGAAAAGGTTAATTGCTGCCACGGAAAAGGCCACGTTTAACTGATTTGATTCCTGTTTCCTTGTTGACGGCGGCGAGCGGCCTAAGCGATTTGCTCGCAGAAATGAACTGACAAGTGCAAACTGTGATATTTGTCACTTGAGGATGTCGGGAGCTCTGGATGTGTGTGTGTGTGTATCTATCTATGTAGCCGACAGAGGTGTGGAGGAAGAGAAGAGAATGCATTACTCCGGTTTGAAGGACTTGAGAGATTTATAGGTCAGCTATAAATATTCCCCTTAAGTTTAGGAGTGTCTGCTTGCAAAAGGGGGCACGATGGCTCAGCCATTAAAGACGCTGAGCTGGAGAGCTGACAGACTGGGTTTGAGACCCTGGCACTGCACAATGTGGTGAGCTCCCGTTACTTGCTCCAGCTCCTGCCCACCTACTGTGTTTCCCTGAAAATAAAACCGGGTCTTATGTTAATTTTTGCTCCAAAATATGCATTAGAGTTTATTTTTTCAGTTAGGTCTCATTTTCGGGAAAATACGGCACTAAATGCATCCAGCTGGCTGACGGATCTTAACTGGGGTTTATTTTTGGGGTAGGGTTTATATTACGAACATCCTGGGGAGGAAAAAAAAATCATGCTAGGACTTATTTTCCAGTTGGGTCTTATTTTCAGGGAAAGTTCGAAAGCACGCAAATGCAAGTAGATAAATAGGTACCACTTCGGTGGGAAGGTAACAGCGTTCCGGGCGCCTTTGGCATTTAGTCATGCCGGCCACATAACCGTGGAGATTGTCTTCAGACAACGCTGGTTCTCTCGACTAAGAAACTGAGAGGAGCACCACACCGTAGAATAGAAACCTTTACCTTTTTGACTTGCAAAAAAAAAACTCCTGAGGCTTCCTATGCAAGGATTTCTAGACGGAAAAAAACCAACTCAGCTGTTGTGGAATATTGTTGTCGGTTCACTTCCCATCATTTGCTCTTTGCTCTTTTCTCTGGCTGACTTTTATTCCTGCCAATCCTGACATTACTCTTGGGTTGTTTCACCTTGGGTGATGAGACCATCTGGCCATGTGCTGTAAGATTACCTACCAGTTGGCTCAGCCCCTTCCTCAAACAACATCTATCCCCCCACCTCCCATCCTAATGGAATCTTATTATGTAACCCCGTAAGCTAGTAGTCGTCAACCTGAGCAACTTTTAAGATGGGTGGACTTCAAGTCCCAAAATGCTTTGGCCGTAAAGCTGCTAGGTCAGCGTAAATAAACGGTACTAGAAGCTACTGATTGTGACACTCTTATCAGTTTTTTTTTTCTTTGCACAAGCATTTACTGAATGAGCCAGCAGAAATTTGATTCCAGTCCAGTGCAACCCTTCTAAATACCATTTATTTGTTTCTTTATAGACGGAAGAGCCTGAGAAAGTTTTAACGATTGAAGGTAACGTATATCCTGAACGTCTCGGTTGCGATCAGTTCTAATTACTTGCTGTCATTCTGAGTCAATTCCAATGGCTTAATTTGGATTTTTTTTTCTTCTAACGGTGTTTACAAATGTTTTGCAAAGGAAAAAAAAAAAACCAGACACACACACCTGTTGATTTAGTTTGGCAAAACTTTCAGGCTAATATTGGTGTAAATTAGGACAGTGGTATTTAAGTAAGATATTTATTTATTTGTTTGTTTGTTTGTTTGTTTGTTTGTTTGTTTGTTTGTTCCATTTATATGCCGCCCTCCTCCGAAGACTCAGGGCGGTTTACAGTGCACTTATAGCAATAGCCTTCATTCTTTTGTATATACCTGCTTATTAGGGCTTAATAATAACAATCCTATTCCACTGCTGGAATGGCCTGGGAGTAGCCTAGACCTTAACCCAATGGAAAAATCTATGGAGGCGACAAAAGAAACTTGTTAGTCAGAAGTGATCCAGCAATAAAACTCAGTTAATAAAAGCAATCATTCAATCTTGGTTTCACATTAGAACAGCTGCAGAACTAAAAGACTTGGTTCACTCCATGGGAAGACGTTGTAAGGCCTTAATCTATACTAAAGATTACCCAACTAAGTATTAACTGACATAGTGATCATTTTTGTATATCTCGTTTTTTCTACGGGTTTCACTTTTCTTCTTTATACTGTAACTGCTATTCTAATAGCAAATCCTTCATAAAAGTTATTGCATGACATTCTTGATCAAATTATCTTTCCATTGATATATAATTTTATGGTACTACTCCCCCCCAAAAAGTGGCGTTATTAGCTAGTTTTAGAAAATACACTTTTCCCAAAAGGTTTCCACAATTTTGGCCACTACTGTAGAACAATTCTGATTGATATCTGACCCACCTCAAATCCAAATCCATTCCCCTATCATTTTGTCTACTAAGTGTGTTGACCTAAATACAGGTACTCCTCATCTTAACGACCACAGTTGAGATCAACCTCTCTGTGGTTAAGTGAAACAGTTGTGAAGTGAGCTTTTGCCCCATTATACGACCTTCCTTTCCACAGTACTTAAGTGAATTGCCGCCATTGTTAAGTTGGTCATACGGTTGTTAAGTGAATCTGATTTCCCCCTTGACTTCGCTGGTTAGAAGGTCACTGAAGGGGATCACGTGACAACCCCCCGGGACACGGCAACTGTCATACGTACATGCCAGTTGCCCAGCATCTGAATTTTGATCACATCACGGGGGATGCTGCGACTGAGTGGTGTGGTGGCCTACAGGTGGAGCTCTCGCCTCACAATCAGGAGGCTGTGAGTTCGATCCTAGGTAGAGGCAGATATTTCTCTCTCTGGGCACGATGAGAATATATCTGCTGAACAAAACTCTGCACTGGCGACAGGAAAGGCATCCGGCCAGTAAACACTCTGCTAGCTCCATTCAGTTGCCCAGACTATACTCCGCAAGGGATTATGGGGTTGTTAAAAAGAGGATGATGATGATGAGTGTGCTGCGACAATCATAAGTGTGAAAAACGGTCCTAAGTCACTTTTTTCCCCTTCAAATGGTCGAACTTAAATGAATTGCTTTAAGTCGAGGGCTGCCTGTATTCCGAGCTTAGCATCACATGCGAATGCATCCGTCCGTCGAGCTCTGCTTTTACTTTCCTAGCCGGGTCTTCTTGCTTTCACAAGATTTTATCTCTTGCTTTTTGCAGACGAAAAACATCTCCAAAGCCAGGCGATCCAGAGTGCGTTGCAAATGGGATTCAGCGTGGAGGAGATTAGCCAAACAGTGGAGAGGAAGGAGCGCCTTTCGGCCGAGCGCTACCAATCGGTTGAGGCGCTAGTCACAGATTTAATCAATGCCCAGAGGGATAATACACCCAGTGCGTACTTAGAAAACCATCTGCAGAAAGGTGATTGTTGTACATCCAGCGTCTGTATGTAGACTAAACCGAGTTATGCTAGGCCAGGAAGGGATTATGACAAACTCCGTTGGGAAGAGAACCGTTGTCCGTGGGACGGCGTCTTTAACGGCTGAGCTACAGTGCACTCTTGGTGGAAAGAATAGAATAGAATAGAATAGAATAGAATAGAATAGAATAGAATAGAATAGAATAGAATAGAATAGAATAGAATAGAATAGAATAGAATAGAGACTGGAATAAATGGAATGGGATAGGATAGGATAGGATAGGATAGGATAGGATAGGATAGGATAGGATAGGATAGGATAGGATAGGATAGGATAGGATAGAATAAATAGAATGGAATAGAATAAGAAATGGAATGGAATGAATAGAGTAGAGTAGAGTAGGATAGGACAGGACAGAACAGAACAGAACAGAACAGAACAGAACAGAACAGAACAGAACAGAATAGAATAGAGATTGGAATAAATAGAGAAGAGAAGAAAGGAAGGGGAAGGAAAGGGAAAAGATAGAGGTAGAGTAGGATAGAATAGGCAAATGATAGGATGGGATGGGATGGGACTGTTAGGAAGCTTCTCCTTAATTCCAGGTTGCTTCTCTCTTTGATCAGTTTCCAACCATTGTTTCTTGTCCTGCCTTCTGGTGCTTTGGAGAATAAGTTTATTTATTTATTTATTAGTCATATTTCTATGCCGTCCACTCTCCGAGGACTCTGGGTGGCTTACACCAAAGACAGTATACTAAATAGCACATTGCCCCCAACAATCTGGGTCCTCATTTTATCCACCTCAGAAGGATGGAAGGCCGAGTCAACCTTGAGCCGGTGAGATTTGATCCGCTGATCTGCTGAACTAGCAGTCAGCTGAAGTAACTGCACCCTAACCACTGCCACCTCGGCTCAGTTGACCCCCTTTGTGGCAGCCCCTCAAATACTGAAATACTGCTATCCTCTCGCCCCTAATTCTTCTTTCCTTTAGACTAGCCAGACCCAAAACCTGCATATGTTTTCTTCATATGTTTTAGTCTCCAGGCCTTAAGAGATATTGCAAGTGTTTGCCTTGCTACCTTGAGACGTACAGGTGTCAAGTTACAAGCGTTCATTTAGCGAAGACGGCACTGGGGAAAAAAAAGCGACTTAAGGACCGTTGTTCATTCCTGTGACCGTCGCAGCATCTCCATGGTGACATGATCCAAGTTTGGAGGCTTGGCAATTGGCTCCTATATTTATGACGGTTGCAGCCGTCCCGGGGTTGTGTGTGACGTGATCCCTGAGCAAAGCCGCAACTTACAAGATGAGTTGTGAGTTCAGTAAGGGGAAGCCAGATTCACCGACTGACTGTGTGTTGCTATTTTATTTTATTTTTAACAACTGCAGTGGTTCATTTAACGACGTTGGCAAGAAAGGTTGTAAAACGGAGGCAAACTCGCTTTTTTTGTGGGGGTGGGGATGCCTGTGGCAGGCTTGAAGATCCAACGAAAAAGATGGCTTACTTGGAACCCTGTCAGCCTGGACTTTTCACAAGAAAGCAGCTTTCCCCTAAAAGCTACTAAATGATAAAACTTCCTTGCTGCTAAATGTCTCACTTAACAACGGAAAATTTGGCCTCGATTATGGTCGTACGTCGAGGACTATCTGCAATTGTAAAAGTTTTATTGCAGGTTCTCGTTTCATGACTCCCAACTTTGCTGGGAGAACCATCAGGTTCTCTGTTTCCAACCCTTGGAATACTGGATCCTGTCCTTTTGTTTGTTTGTTTAGTTGACTTTATTGTCATTGCACCTTGTATAACAAAATTAGATGCCATCTTCAGTGTACATTGTAACTATAAAAATAAAACACAAACACACATCCTTCACATTCTATACAAACGGAATTGAAAACCCCGGGAATTGCATTAATATTACACTATACAGTAGAATTCAATATAGTTACGGCTCTAGGATAGAAGCTGTTTTTCAGCCTATTTGTCCTTGTTTTTATTGCCCTGTACCGGCTGCCAGATGGTAATAGTTCAAAAAAAAAGGGGGGGGGGAGGTGCCCAGGATGAGATGGAACTTTAAGAATGTTTTGAACTTTCTTAAGGCAGCGGGAGCTATAAAGCTCTTCCAAAGAGGGGAGAGGGCAACCAATTATTAAATTTGTATACCGCCCTACTCCTGATCCTCTGGGCAATGACGTTGACCCTCTGGAGCACTGTCCTATCTGCCACTGTGCAATTGGCAAACCATATACAGGTGCAGTGAGTTAAAATACTCTCTATGGTGCAGCGTCACCAGCAATTTTCATTCAGTTGTTGTTTCCTGAGAAGTCTCGGGTAGTGTTGTGGCCTGGTTTTGGTCTGGTTTCTGACACATCTGGTTTTCGATATCCCTGAGCTAAAGACCTGGTTAAAAAAAACATTGTTGTGGCCCGCCAGCAGATTCGGAGAGTGAGGAGGTTGGGGAGGAACATGGGCCAGTCTTGGAGTCTGGGGAAGGCTCGGACGAGGGCTCTGAGTCAGAGGCAGAGAGGGGGCCAGGGCCATCTGGTAGTTCTTTGCTGCCTCCGGAGTCTGACATCAGCGAGGCAAAAGAACAGCGGGAGCCTGTTCCCAGTGTGCGCATGCGCAGAGCTGCCAGAAGACAAGAATAATTAAGAAAACAGGGTCGACTTGGGAGTAAAGCTTGGAGATGATTGGTCCCTCCCATAAGACATAAAAGAGGTGCGAACCGGACGTGAGCTTTTGCATCTGGTCAGTTCAAGCTTTGGAAAGTTCTGTTTGACTCTGTGCTAAGTTTGGCCTTGCCCTGCGTGTGGCAATTAGTTCTCTGGCAGCATTCCAAGGGAGATAAGGTGGGTGTTTATAAACATTCCCCTGAATGACTGTTTTAGAAGCCTTTCGGACTGGGAATGACAATAATTCACAGCCGTGTGAATAAAAGAGGTTTGCTGGGACTAAGATTGTGCTTTATGCTTTCTAAGGAAGCCAAGGTCAGAATAGGTATTTTTTCCCCCTCCTTGGTGAAGGGATCTCATAAAAATCTCTTTTTTTTCCCCTCCCCTTCCCCCCCCCCCACCTTCTCCGGGCAGATCTCAGTACAGAAGAGAAGTTGAAACGTCTGGAGGAAGAAAAGATCTGTAAGATTTGCATGGATAAGCTTCTCTCCGTGGTCTTCATTCCATGCGGACACCTGGCTTGCCAAGACTGCGCGGAGGCGGTGGAGAAATGCCCCTGGTGTTGCAAGATCATCGCAAACCGCCAGAAGGTGTTCATGCCCTAATTGGAGATGCCGGTGGGGTGAGAGATTCCATGAAAACAAAAACTAACAAACACCCCCGTCACCCCCAAAAATCCAAACGCTGACCCAGATTCACAGGCGTCGCCTCCGAAATGGATTTAGCAAGAATCGACGTTTTAAATTAACGCACCGGGGTTGCGTGTGGTATGAATCGTCGAGAGAGGGTGTTGATTGGATTTTCCATCCTACTCATTTAATTGGAGGCGCTTTTAATCGGAGCGCCTGCCATCGGGTGTTAAAATGTTTCGGGGGTGGTGGTGGAATTTTTTTCGGCGTTTTTGTCATGTTTTCAAGTGGTGGAGAAATATCTTGCAGCTGGTTGGGGTTCTTGATGTATTTTTGAGAGGTGGGGTTTCCCCCTCCCCTTGTAGAGTTTATAGCCGAACACCTGAAAAAAGTACACCAACAACTGGACAGGTTTGGGCAACTCTTGTCGACTTTAACAATCCGTGGACTTCCAACTCCCAGAATTCTCGGCTGAGGAATCAGGTCAACTGAATGGTTGAGGTCAACTTAATGACCTGTGGACTTCAACTCCCAGAATTCTCGGCTGAGGAATCAGGTCAACTGAATGGTTGAGGTCAACTTAATTTCCTGTGGACTTCAACTCCCAGAATTCTCGGCTGAGGAATCAGGTCAACTGAATGGTTGAGGTCGACTTTACGATCTGTGGACTTCCAACTCCCAGAATTCTCAGCTGAGGAATTCTGGGAGTTGAAGTCCAAAGGCCATTTAAGTTGTCCTCTGCACTACTAACCGAATAAGCTTCCCCCAAGGCCCTTTCCTCCCTTAAGATTCTTAGAATGGCTGAACTTGCTCCTGGCGCCAGTCTGAAAGTTGCGTTCTTTTTATTGTGTTTGCCATGCGATGCCAACAACTCTCCAGTGTTTTCTGCCCATCCCTCTTGCAGTCCGAAGTGATATCAGCCAGGTACACAAGGCCAACGCAAAAAGCTGAATGACAAAGGGGCGTGAAGAATTATTTTAAGAATAAGGAAAGAGGTAGACCTTGTACATAGCTCATTTTTCCATCCATTCAAAGGGTAGATTTTTTTTCTCCACCCCAAGGGCAGCAACGCCGATAGCTCTGTTTTACAAACTGAATCACCTTTCCTTGGGTCCGTCTCTTGGAAGGAAGGTGCCAATCACACAGCTTTTTCGTTTACCCTGACAGCTGCAGAAAAGACGGGACAACCACTCGATACCCCTTTCTATCCCAGTTCAAAGTCTTACCTGGGTTCTAGCATGACCTCCACAGGTGGAATTGCAGAAACTAGGATGCAAACCTGATTTTTAAAGTTTCACATTTCAGGTTGCATAAAGGCATCGTTAACTGATGCTTTGGGAATCCAGACGCCGTAACGAAAGTTCTGACTTTGGGCGATGAGCCGCACATCGGTTGGGATTCAGTTGGTGGCGTGCGTGTCCTTGTTCCTTTTTCCTCCGTAGATTTGTGCGATGGATGAAGCGAGAGTCTTTTGAGTTTTTAATCATTTATGGGTAGAACCGAACTGCTGTTCTGGTATATGGGGTTTTGTCCCCCGAAATAAAAGGATGCGTCAGATAGATTATTGATGTCAGTATATGTGGCTTTGAGAGAACGCTGCGATAAGTGGAAGGAGAACCTGAGAAATGGGTGCCATCCTTTAATTCAGAAGTTGAGAAGCAGATGATCTTGCATTTCCTCCCTTGCACTATAGATACTACGTTAGGTAGCAAAGCATAAAACTGAATGTAACGTGAATTGATTTCAATCCCTGTTGCCTCTTTAGGGAGGAAAGAGTGAAGACCGGGTGATACTTTTAAAATAACAGAAGAATAAATGGGATGTCGGGTTTTTTTTTTTAATTTTTACTTCTTCGCCTTCCTGAAATTGCTTATAGGGATTGCTAAAATGAAAAAAAAAAAAAAAAAATCTCCCGAGCGCCCTGAGGATAATAAATCCTCTTTTTTTGAGATTAAAATATTCCTCTCCCTTCCTCATTTTGTGTTTCCCGATCAGGGAAATCAACGTGCTCGTCCTAGTAATAAATCTATATGTTGTTATTCCTATGTTGCTAAAAAAACAATCTAGCTTATTTTACCTTATTATTGTTGTTGTTTTTTCCTTTTTAAAAAACAACGGCTGCATTTTTATTTATTGACATATTTATTTGAAAAACTTGTTTTTTTAAAAAAACCCACACACACACTTTCGCGGCACGAACGAAAGATGGCTTTAAAACAGGTGTCACAACGGAGCACGTAAAGAGTTGTGGGGTGCTGTTTTCCTGGGAAGGAAGCTTACTCAGTTGTTGTTCGTTTTGGCTTTGTGTTTTGTCGAACACTACAATGGCAGTTCAGCCCCAAAGGGGGTGGATTTACAACTTCTGCTGACACTTTATGGCACATTGCATGGAGGGGCGGGGGGGAAAACCAGAAACTGACAGTTTGAACTTCATTCAGAATGCTGCTAAAAAAATAAATAAATCACACAAACAACTTCCTTTCCATTTAGCAAGGCCACATAGCGTTAAGGAAAAGGGGGTGGGGGTGGGGGGCGGCTTTAAGATCCTGGATGGTTGCCAATTTTTTATTTTTATTTTTTAAAAAAAGTCTTAATTTGATTTTCGTGGCAGGTTCCCTGATCTGCCCCATTTATTTTTACAGCTATTTATAAGCGGCATAATTTGAAGGGGATCTAACACAGCTCTTCAGCCAGATCTGAACTCAAAAAAAAAAAAAAAAAACCCACCCCACCGATTAAAACATGGCGAAGAGTTGTGTTTGCTCACTGTTGTTCCCTCAACATCTTTGTGGGGTTTTGTTTTAATCCCTTTGTTCACGTAGAGAATAGCAAGGACTTGTTTTACATCGGAAGCTATCCGAGGGGCTTTTCTTCACGAAGGTCGGCTTTTTTTCACCCTTTTAAACAAAATATATATTTCACGAACGCATCTGGGAAATTTTACGAGCTATGCATAGGTGCGCGTGTAAATCCACACTGAAATACTATGGAATTGTCGAGTTGTGTATAATAAGAATGACCTGAGTTGTAAATAAGAACTGTTTAAGAGCAAAAAGGTGGAATTGTTGACTTCAGAAACTATATTCCGACGTGTTAAGAAAGATTTATTTTTTTAGACGTACCACAATGACTTAATATAATCATAGAATTGTTTTGCAGTTAAACTCAAGTGACTATTTTTAATAAAGTGATCTATTATTTTATATTCTGAATGATGGCTGTTTTTTTAAAATTCTTTTTACTTAGACACAAGACCAGTTAATATGCTTGAGCCCTGTCTCTATCACTCGTATTTTTCCATCTTTCTCAAGGATCTATGTTTCCATTTTTCTCCAGCTTTTAATTCATATATTATGTTAACCTATGGTTTATTGGAACTAATTCAGTTAGTTAAATAATAATTAATCAGAATAGAGCCGGATGGGACCTTAGAGGTCTTCTAGTCCAACCCCCTGCTCAAGTAGGACACTCCTTTACCATTTCAGACAGATGGCTGTCTAGTCTCTTCTTAAAAAGAAGAGACTAGAGATGAAGCACCCATAACTTCTGGTGGCAAGCTGTTCCACTGGTTGATTGTTCTCACTGTTAGGAAGTTTCTCCTTAATTCCAGATTGCTTTTCTCCTTGATTAGTTTCCATCCATTGTCCCTTGTCTTGCCTTCTGCTGCTTTGGAAAATAAGTTGACCCCCTCTTCTTTGTGGCCACTTCATAATCATAGTCATCTCTCTCTCTTTCTCTCTCTCTCCCCCTCTCCCTCTTCCCTCTCTAGTCAGTCAGTCAGTCTGTCTGTCTGTCTGTCTGTCTGTCTGTCTATCTATCTATCTATCTATCTATCTATCTATCTATCTATCTAATCTGTCCATCCATCCTATCTATCCATCCCCTTATCTGTCTGTCTGTCTGTCTATATCTATCTATCTATCTATCTATCTATCTATCTATCTATCTATCTATCTATATCTGTTATCTGTCCATCCATCTATCTATCTATCTATCTATCTATCTATCTATCTATCTATCTATCTATCTATCTATCTATCTGTTATTTGTCCATCCATCCTCTATCTGTTATCTGTCCATCTATCCTCTCTATCCATCCCCTTGTCTGTCTGTCTGTCTGTCTGTCTATCTATCTATCTATCTATCTATCTATCTATCTATCTATCTATCTTGTCCATCCATCCTATCTATCCATCCCCTTATCTGTCTGTCTGTCTGTCTATATCTATCTATCTATCTATCTATCTATCTATCTATCTATCTATATCTATATCTGTTATCTGTCCATCCATCTATCTATCTATCTATCTGTTATTTGTCCATCCATCCTCTATCTGTTATCTGTCCATCTATCCTCTCTATCCATCCCCTTGTCTGTGTCTGTCTGTCTGTCTATCTATCTATCTATCTATCTATCTATCTATCTATCTATCTATCTATCTATCTATCTATCTATCTATCTATCTATCTATCATCTATGTTATCTGTCCATCCATTCTCTCTATCTATCCATCCTCTATCTATCTATCTATCTATCTATCTATCTATCTATCTATCTATCTATCTATGATATCACCACCACTACATAATCTCAACAGTATATAGCATGAAGGAATTCTCTCCCAATATAGAATTGGAAGCTTTTAAGAAGAGACTGGACAGCCACTTGTCTGGAATGGTATAGCATGAGCAAGGGGTTGGACTAGAAGACTTCCGAGGCCCCTTCCAACTTTGTTATCCCGTTCATAATCGGTTATGAACAGCATTGTAGAGGCAATGCACGGATCCTGCTTGCTACCCTAACAGGTTGTTGTGAAAAGCATGACAAAGCTCCATTAACGCCGGTGTGTGTGTGTGGCAGGTGGAATTGCTGATCGCATCGGCAATGAGGTGTCTACATTCTGGCATTCCGCTCACTTACGGGATGTTGGAAAGTGTCATTTCATGACGGCTGCGAGTGGATTAATCGGCCCGAAATAAAAGGCCTTGACTCATTATTTAAATGATCAAAAAACCAACAACACAACAAACCACACACACACACAAATGCAGCTGGAGATCAAATTACGCCGCATTACCTGATTCGGGGAAGGGGGGGGAGTCAACGGGCAACATTGCTTTTCACTAGCTCTGAATCATTTCAGGTCAAAGCATAATTGCAGAGTTTGAGAGCTCGGAAGCCCGTAGTAGATCTAATGCGTACGCTTCCTTTTTAAGAGCGCGGCCATTCGGCCCGAAAATGCCTTTGCTGAAAATTCCATTGCAAGAGCTGTCCTAACTTTTCCAGCAGCGGAATAAAAAAACCTTGCGATGAAGGTAAAATGGGACGGGAAAAAGTGGGAAGATTGTGCTAAAAGTTTCAGTACAGGTTGTCCTCGACTTAGAACAGTTCGTTTAGTGACCGTCCAAAAGTTGAAACGGAAAAAAGGGGACTGATACCTGCATATCTGCCACTAGCTTTTTTCTTTCCTTTCTTTGATTTTTTTTTTTTTAAATCGAGAAAAGCAGAACAAAGCCCAGAAACTACAAATATTGTGTTTTACAACACACAGGACTAAAAAAAATAAATGAAAATGAAACTGAATAAATGAACTGAAGCTTGCTGTGGTCAAAAAAAAAAGAAGAGCTGCTTGAAAAAAAAAAATCAGAGAGGAACAGCTGCATTGGAAGACTACCGGATTAATAGCAGGCAAAAAGGCAAACTTTTGGTATCTGCCAGATTCTTGGTCATTAGGTAAAGGTAAAGGTTCCCCTCGCACATACGTGCTAGTCATTCCAGACTCTAGGGGGCAGTGCTTATCTCCGTTTCAAAGCCGAAGAGCCAGCGCTGTCCAAAGACGTCTCCTTGATCGTGTGGCCGGCATGACTAAACACCAAAGGCGCACGGAACGCTGTTACCTTCCCACCAAAGGTGGTCCCTATTTTCCTACTTGCATTTTTTTTACGTGCTTTCGAACTGCTAGGTTGGCAGAAGCTGAGACAAGTAACAGGAGCTCACTCCATTACGCGGCGCTAGGGATTCGAACTGCTGAACTGCCGACCTTTCGATCGACAAGCTCAGCGTCTTAGCCACTGAGCCACCACGCCCCTTGTCCACTGGTCATTAGATCAAGCAAACAATCAAACAACCAACTGATCACACTGGCAACACAAGACATTTATAAGCTAAGGAGAATAAGACAAGAAAACCCTGCTGATGATGTTACCTAGTCTGGTAAGGAAACGTTCAGAAACTAAATTGAAACAAGCTTGGAGAGCAAACCCCACTCCAATATAGGTAGTCCTCGAATTAAAACCATTTCTTTAGTTTGCCTTCAAAATGACAACGGCACTGGAAAAAAAAAATTAACTTCTGACCCGTTTTCACACACATAGGACTAGTACAGCCTCTCCGGTGTCACATGACGCACGGCTGTCCTGGACGCACGGCTGTCGTTAGAAGATCATTTGGCGGCCGTGGCCAGGGGGGCTTTTTATCAGGTTCGCCTGATACGCCAGTTGCGCCCCTTTCTAGATCGGGACTCCCTACGCACAGTCACTCAGGCACTCGTCACTTCCCGCCTGGACTACTGCAATGCTCTCTACATGGGGCTCCCCCTGGGGTGCACCCGGAGGCTCCAGCTGGTCCAGAATGCGGCCGCGCGGGGGATTTTGGGGGCGACGAGGCGCTCCCACGTGACACCTCTCCTGCGCGAGCTGCACTGGCTCCCGGTGGTCTTCCGGGTGCGCTTCAAGGTGTTGGTGACCACCTTTAAAGCGCTCCATGGCTTAGGGCCGGGGTACTTACGAGACCGCCTTCTGCCACCAATAGCCTCCCACCGGCCAGTACGCTCCCACAGAGTGGGCCTCCTCAGGGTGCCGTCCGCCAGACAATGTCGGCTGGCGACCCCCAGGGGGAGAGCCTTCTCTGTGGCGGCGCCCGCCCTCTGGAACAACCTCCCCCCAGAGCTACGTATAATAACAGACCTCCGGATTTTTCGTCGGGCCCTGAAAACCCATTTATTCCAACTAGCTGGGCTGGCTTGAGTCAAATTTTAAATGGATTTTAAATTGGAATGTTTTAATTACGGCCAAAATTATTTAATTATTTTAAACAGTTTTTAGATTTTGTATGTTTGTATGTATGTCTTGTTTTTACTTTGGCTGTTCACCGCCCTGAGTCCTACATTGGAGAAGGGCGGTATAGAAATTTAAACAAATAAATAAACAAATAAATGATCAAAATTCAGGCGCTTGGAAACTGGCATGTACTTATGCCAGTTGCACTGTCCCAGGGTCACATGATCACCATATGCAACCTTGCAATAAGCAAAGTCAATGGGGGTGGGTGGGAGGGGGGGGAAGCCGGATTCATTTAACCGCTGCATGATTCATTTAGTGACTGCAATGCTTCGCTTAACAACTATGGCAAAAAAAAAAAAGGGTCATAAGCAAAGCTGGCTGGGGGATTCTTGGGAATTGAAGCCCCACCAAGATTGGAGAAGCTTTTGATTGCAAGCAGCTTGATTCCAGTTTCAGCCCTTTTCAGAGCTCCAAAAAATGCCCCCTTCCTTTTTTTTTTGGCCCCCCCACTAGAAAATAAGGGGGCAAGCCCACCCCTTTTCCCCCCCTCCCCCACCTGGGGCGCTACGTGCCGCTCAGCACTTCCTGCGCGCTCCAAGGCAGAACAGGCATGGGCGGGGCCTTTAGGGGCGATGACGTCACGGAAGGCGTGGCGATTCGATCGTCAAGGGAAGGGAGAGCAAAAAAAGAGACAGCGCATGCGCGGCACCTTGTTTACCCCGTTTTCTCCGCCAAGCCCGGACGGAGCACGAGGGGGCCGCTTTGGCTGAGCGAGCGAGCGAGGGAGCGCGCGCAGGCGCGCCCTCTTCTCTTTCTCCCTCCCTCCCCCCACTCCTGCATTCCTGAGTCCTCCCAGCAGGTGCCGCTCTAGGCCCGTCCGAACGTGGCGAGCTCGGTGGCCGCCAGGTGGCGCCTGCGCCCTCCATTCCCTCGCCAGCCGCCGAGCTGCGAACACCCCAAACAATCCCCAGCGCCGCCGCCACCGCCGCCGAATTGAAATCCTCGCTGCCCCCCGGTCGCCGCGCTCAAACCGGGAAGAGACCAGACGACCCCCCCACTCCCGCCCCTCCGTCTTTTCCCTCAGTAGGCCTCGCTTCGGCCCTCCTCTTCCTCCTCCTCCTCCTCCTACGGCGGCCTGTTG